CGTCACAGTCAAAAAAAAACTGTATCATTAGCGTAATCTGAGATCCTATGGACTGATTTGCGCATCTCTTGAGTGCTGACAACCGTGTCCATTATCCAGTCTATCGCATAGTTGAATAGAGAAAAGGACGTAATCTTTCGAAAGGGCCTCTCGCCATATATACAGACTTGTACCGACGTATGTTGAGAAAACACCTTTATGAATTGAACGATCTTTTCTGGCACACTGTCGCGTTCCACAACCTTCAAAAGTGCCGTTCTTTCGGAATTCAATTAAAAATAGCTCAAAGTTAATGCAACACGATGGATTGTAGATAAAGCGATATTCCAATAACCTTCTTAACGCGAATATCTGATCAGCACAACTGTCGGTCTAAATCCAGCTTGATTAGGACGCATTCTACTATCTTGTGTTGCCATAGCACAAGGAAAACAAAAATTTTCCCAGAGACGTCTAGTAGGCTGATTCCTCGATAATTTTCGCAGTGTCCTGAGGACAATATTTGGAGAATCCGTCCCTAAGACCATCTTCTCCAGGAGTTTTATTGGTTATAAGCTTCTGGATAACAGAAATTACTTCTTCTAGCGGTTCGCAGTTGCAAGCATACGGCTCAACGAATGATTCAGCTATATCTGGGACAAAATTCGGTTTGAAATATGCTTATTATTTATAAATCTTTCAGTTTGAGATAGTTGAAAGATCAGCGAGATGTTGTTTGTTGCGAGTTATCAATTTTTATCGGATCGTGGCTGGAACTATAGCATGGTCAGATCCATGAAAATTGCCCGTTTCATCGCCGCGATAAGAACGATTATATAGTACGGAATTCTTTCAAGGATGAATGATTAAGATATAATCAACCTAGTTGGTCATCCGAATTCCATGTGATTGAATATCTCCTACGATGCCGCAAGCATATATTAGTGATAAAAAGAAAAGTTTATGCTATTTCGCAAAGCGAAGAATTATTATTCATTTTTCATTGGCACATTGGTCCCTAAAGCTATATTTGCCAATTATCGAGCTTATTGTGACGGCATCGTAACCTACACATTCCAGTCTCCTCTAATTATAGCCATGTTATTTTTCGTTAGAGATGTTGTTGCCAGTTGAAGTTTCGTATGGAGTTATCCTTATCGCAATCATCTTCAGGCAAATTTAGAGCATATAACTGATGACCGAGATATTGCAAAACTTACCTTCATGGCGAGTATAGACCATACGATCGTTTATCGATATCAGAATGGACTGAACTTTTTCAGATACGACATCACTACGCCATTTTGCCTCGATTTATCCAAGACACCACAGTGGTATAGTCAATATCTTTGGCCGATATGAGGAAGATAGACTTCTGACAAACAAGTCACATCCACATGACATTTAGAAAGAGTATGAACAGTGGTCACTTGGCTTGTCCATGAGCACATTCCATCTCGTCGCACATTTCGAGCAATTGTCCTGGCTTACGAGCACAATTTATTAATCAGCCTTGGGGTAGTTTTACGCCTAGATTTTATACTTATCGTGAGTACCATCGGACTGGAAGTATCATGTGCATCGGAGGACGCGGACTTCATGTCTAAAACATCTGATATTGAAGGATTTTATGGAAAAAAAATCTCTGAAGATTCCAAAAATTTATTTAATAGCTTATAAACGCTTAAAAAGCGTTTATTCATTACCGAAACATGACATGATTATAATCGGGAGACACTGGAATGCTCATAATGCAGCTGCGATGACCTTAACAACTGGCAAATATGGCATCGGAGACCGGCGTGCCAACGGGGAACATGGGGAATCGTTATGCCGAAGAACATGAACTTTTTGTTACTAATACTTGCTTCCGGTATCATAGAAAACATCTAGTGGAACTTCCCGGACAACCAACACTTCAACCAGATCGATTATATCTTAGTCAGTCGCCGTTAGAAGAGTTCCGTATTAGATAGTCGTTCCTATCGCGGAGCTAAAACGGGCAATCTTCATGGATCTAACCATGTTATGGTTCGAGCCAAAATCCGTATAAAATTGACAACTCCCAGCATCCTCCAATATCCTTGAACTATCTCAAACTAAAAAATTCGGGGACACTGAGCACATTTCAAACCGAATTATTGAAGCATCTCAATGATACAAGTATCAATGATTTTTCTGGAACGGCAAATGAATACTGGTCCAAACTAAAGGAATGTATCCGAAAATCGGCCACTTCTACGCCAGGTCATACTAGTAGGAAGTGCGTTAGTTGGGTATCGGAAGCAATTGTTCAACTTTCTGAAAAAGCTGCCAAAGCACGAACGTCAGGTGATCTTGATTACCGGATGCTTCGAAGATTTGCAACGAAAGCAGCACGGCGGGACAGAAATCACTATTGGAGTGACATGACCTTGAGAAATGGAGACAGTGGTTTGATTAGGCAATAATAGGAAACTATTCCGCTCTCTTCATAAAGCAACTATGAATCGGCGAAAGATCAGTGAAATGGTAAGCGATAGCAATGGCGTGCCGATCAAGAGTATTAGGGACCGCCTCATAAGATGAAAAGAATTCTTTGAAGCCAAACTTAACCATGAAGCATCATCTGTTGCCCCTGATATAACTGATGCGTTCGCTGAACCATATGCTTGCAACTGCAAGACCTCGACAGAAAGAACAAATAATATCTGTTATCCTTAAGCTTAAGGCCAATAAGATTCGGGAGAAAATGGTCTTCGGGCTGAACTCTGGTATGGTAATATATGGTTTAGCAAGCAATGAAATATATGTTAACTTCTCGGTGGGCGAAAAAGAATATGCCCGAACCAGCGAAGACGACAGTCTGTGATAATAATATTAATACAGTTGGTACTTGAACGAAGGTGGATGCCATCATGTAATATCTTATCGGCTCGATGGATCCGTAATATTTACCTTAGATAAGAGTGGCCAAAGGCAGATAGCTTCTTAATGTCCTCCACTCTCATTGGCCATGTCTCAGAACCATATAGCAAGATCGAACGGATCACGGCTATATATATGTGGATTTTCGTTTTTATGGTGATTTCACGACGACTCCATAAAAGTTTCGTCAAGCGGAAGAACGCATTTCTAGTTGCCGTAATCCGAATTTAATCTCGTCTTTTGTCTGGTCATTTGGTATTAGAGTGGACCCAAGGTATTTGAAATCAGGCACTTCCTCAACCGGCAATGAATTGATAAAAATAGGTATTTTATCTGCTTCTTGCACATAAGACGAAAAGACTTTCGTTTTGTTCACATTGATCCTGAATCCGATTCTCGCTGCAGTTGCTGACATGTTATTTAGCATTATTTGCATTTCATCATAACTGTCAACAAAAGATATATCATCAACGTATTCAAGATCCGTGATAGGATGCTCTGGACTGATGTGGACACCTCTTGAGTGCCGACAAGCAGTGCCCATTATCCAGTCTATCGCATAATGTGGGAAAAGGACGCAGCACTGACAGTTCTTATTTCGAAGGAATTTATCAGTTCCCCATATACACAGACCTGGGGAGATAAGTGGCGATTTATCTTTATTTTCTTGTTTTACTTAGTAATGTTATCTTCACCATACTTTGTACTTAATATTAATTTATGTCATCTTTTTCAGGCATGAGGAATGCTACACCAATTCGACCCGAGAAATGCCACAGCTAGTCAGTAGTTCTGCTAAAAGACAGATTTAATGATTAATTACTCGAGAGCCGAATAACGAAGAAAATTGCTTAATTATCCAAGTAGCAAAGTTCAGTTTTTTAAGCATACAAATAATACTAAGCATATAAATTGAACTCCATTAAAGAATATCTCAGATTCGTTTGTATTTATTTGCTTTTGCTAAAATAAGGATGCAGTCGATATATGAAATTCTGTTAATAATCCTGCTAGCACTATTATTGTTGTTTTATTCAAAATTATCCAATAAAATAGAATTAGATGCATCAATCTTTTCTTGCATTTCATGCATTGCTATCACCAGACATTTCATAAACTTAATATTCGGCTCACTTAAGCAATTTGTCGCTTTACTGCTAAAAACTTTTATAGATACCCATAGCGGCAATTGAATTGTTTTGTCAAACGAATGTGTCGATGCTGACGACTGTCTTTTTATCGCCAAATGTTTCCTGAGCAAGATTCATATGGTCGAACAAACCTGCAAGCCTAATTAGAAATGGTCAGTAACACTAAAAAAATACCATTAATTTGGTTACAGTTTTCCTTAAATACTTTATCTGACGTGCAAGTTGCAGATTTGCACTTTTGACGCATATACGAATAGGTCAATCTGTTGCATAATATAGAAAATGATCAAATTCATTAGCATTTGGATATATTCCAAAAACTCCTGGGTTTTTTCAAGGATCATATTTCGCTGGACATTTCGTAATAACAATTGGATATGAAATTAGGTTCTGCAATCGGTTGCAAAATTCAACAGAACTTGCATTAACAAAAATTATCTAAAATGATCTACAATAATTGTCGCGTTCAAATTCATTTTTACTAGTAATTATTTCTTCTTAAAAGTTCAGATAAAAAAGATGATGAATGAGGAATCCACGAGAAATCAATTTTACCTTTCCAAATTAGCTATTTTATCTAGGAATATCTAGAATAAAATAAGATTGTCTTGTACATGTCTTTTCTGTTTTATTTTGCTGGATATTTCAAATAAAATTAATTTGAACAACAGAAAATATACATAGGCCAAAAGCGAATTTCCTATTGTTCATTTGTGCTTTATTTTGTATTTGGCTTTTAAGCAATCGTTACACTATTTATTATGAAACATATCTGCACTTATTTCGATTTCCTTACTGGAGAATAATGAGAATATTTGCAATTTTCTCGAGTAATTTTGAACGGACTCATTGTTATGTCGTGCAAAAACAACTAAAGAAAGAAAAAGAATAACATTGAAAACTTATAAGTTAAAACAAGTTAAGTTGAATTGATTAACACAACCATAGTTGATGAGCATATTTCTATATTTTAAATAATATATGTGGCAAATGAAAAACGAAAGTAACAATAAAAAAGAATATAAATAGTGCCAGCAAAACTCTACAAACACATCTTCGACCATATTTTCGCCAAAAAATCCTTGAAAATTCTGCTAATCGTGATGAAAGCCAAAATTCGTCATATCGTCTTCGAACAGGAACTGGCAAAAAAGGTGACTGAAAAATAAATTGCTGAAGATAATATTTTCTTTATTACAATAAAGCTATTAATATAATTTTTATCACCAGTGATTGTCAGTATGCAATAATGTTGGTATATCTTCATTTCTATTTAGATACTCTTAATGAAGCACCCTACTAGTACAATTACTAGTACAATTGAATCAGCTAAACCAGAAATGGTGAATGCAGTGGTTTTATTTTATTTCAGCAGCAAACCGTTAATAACCAATTTTATTAACCACTGATGGTTAAATGAATAGATAAGAGAATCTGAGTTAAATGAATAGATAAGAGAATCTGAAGACCGCAAGAGAGAAATAACGATGTCGTTTTGTTTATGTCATAAAAATCGTTTCTACTGAAATAATGCGAATTAATGAAATTTAAACGTTGATTCCATTTATTTCATGCTTGTGCTTACATGGTTAGGTTTATTGCGTTTCTTTCCAACTGGTTCTTTCTTTGCTTCTTCAGCAACCAGCAACTCCATTTCCAGTTCAACAAGGCCTGTAACATATGGAATTCTTTGCTCGGGATCGTCGTCTTTCCCTTTTTGTACTGTTCGATTTATCTGAGAAATTAAGTTGGTGAAATGAGAGACCAAATGATCATAATAACATTATTTATGGGACGAAATACTAATATAAATAGAAACTAATAGAAAATATGTATTTTTTTAGAGCTCCCACTATTACTGGTTGCCAAATCACCCGGATTTTTGTACAAGTTTACTCCTGTAGGGAATCGAACCTCAACATCAGCGCTTGTCACTTGTAAGTTATTTCATTTCCATGAAGTATACTCTTAATGAAGCACCCTAACATTTACGTCGAAATAAAAATTGTACTAATATTTCTCAGAAAGATCACGCAGATTACGCATATATGCACGTATAAGCATTAAATAGTACGTATTTATAAAGCAAAATTTTATTGGAATTAGTTCAAAAAATATTTTTATACATGGATATTTTATATATATTTTTTATAGATTCAGATATAAAAGTTTACTTCTATTTTCTCAATCGACTTGTTTATGCACGGCCACCATCCGTGGGTTCTTTTTTGTTGGAATAGTGAAAATTGTTTAACTGAGCCAGATAAGTAAATCTGACATAAATATGAAGAAATTAGTAAATTTTAATGAAATTTCAACTAGAAAAGTCTTTGACAATTTTTTTATAAGATAACCCTTGTTTCAAAAGCATTACTGGTGGGTACTAAATTTGCCACTAAAATTGCTTTATGATATGATAAGAAATTCGTGATATCACCATAGAGCAAATGCTCGTTAGGTCTTAAACATTTTTCATTATTCATTAAGAGAATATCTCGCCAAACTGAAAGCATCTTTTTCAGACGTAACTTAAGACGTAACTTAACTTTAGAAGCTTGGAAATTCGTTTAGTATAAGGAGCAAGCTGTGAATGTTCGAGCTGTTAGAATGATAAAACTCTTAACAAACGATAGTTTATATTTAAAAGAAGCTTAAAAAAAGTTTTATATATTCTAACAATTGAAATAGTACAGGAATATCAAATACTCTATCATAGCGTCTATCAGGCAGCGTTCTAGTAGTATAATCTGACAGGTATAAACACGATAAAATTTTTTTAAGCAGCATGCAACGATTTCCGGCCTGGGCTGGATATACATTTAGCATTTCTTCAGATTCCATTTGTGCTTCTGATTCAAAAAAAGATTTTTAAAATTGATGTTAAAATTGATTAAAATTGATATTGCTCAGAAAGATCAATTAAAAAAATTTTAAAAAAAGAATTATTTTATTTTTAAAAGTTTTCATCACTTTTCTAGCTAACACTTTTCAGATAATATTTTTACAAAATAAACACTGGTGTTTGCGATTGCTGAAAATTTTCTGTTAAACTGTTGTTTTCCCACCATTTTCCTTCAAAATGATCCTAGTGACCCACCTAACATTTCTATCGTGAAGTGACTTCCTGCCAAAACTTATCTTGCTCGATAAGCGATGAGCCTTAGCAGCAATAGCGACAGCTCTTCCAAAAAGCAAGAAAGCAAAAGTTATTTTTCTTCATGAAAATGAAATGAAAAAAAAAATTTTTTTGGATAAATATGCACAAAAACGGTAAAAAATGTGGAAATTAAGGGCTTTAAATTACTATATATACATATATCTTTAAGAGTGAGTGGCACCGGGAGACTAACCATCGAAGGCAAGTAAATTGAATTTTAGTTGCCCGATATAATCATCCTTCTCAAATTTATTGTTATCCCATATTTCTACGACCAATATGGGTTCCATCATTACCTTCGTTGTTATACTGGAAATAATAATATAACATAGCTATACAATTAAATCCTATTTTTGCAGATATACTATTACTACTACTATATCATAGTTATTCCTGCAACTTTCTCGAGCTTAAAAACATCTTCATGGATTCAAACCCAAATAGGCGTCTCTTTTTGTAGTGAATAAGTTTCTGTTCCCAAATATCGAAATCAAATTTCAAAATAAATCTCCAGTTAAACGTCCCATAACCATCTGTACTGCGATAATGTATGTCTGTGCATTCACGTTTAGTCGATCCATAAAGAAAACACTTCACGTATAAGTCAGCCGCCTTTAATCTTCATTTATTTTTAAAAGGGGTCTTTCCATCATAGTTGCATAAGATCATAGAAAATTTGAAACTATTTTATTTCTTTAAAAAATGGTTTTAACGAGATTTTAAAACGCGCTCAATCATAGATGTGATTCAAAATTCTTTCCAAGATCTTTTGCATACTTCACATTTTTGAACTTAAATTAAATTAAGTCAACCGAAAATAATTAATAAATTCTAACCGGCCGTCCGAATAATCTTTTTCGCAAGACTACATTTCGTACATTCCAAACGACCACTCTCAACTCATATTTTTTGGGTAAGCGAGGCGAAATATCTAGCGGAGGTGGAATTGGGCCTAAGATTATCGGCATAATATCGACAAAAAGTTGCAGTTTTCCATATTCCACTTTATTATTTACTTTATTATTGCCAGAATGAAGTGGTCTGGTTTCCACATGTTCTGGTACTAATCCCATCTAAATCATACATCCATTTTAGAAAAGAGTATAAATATAATGAAGTATAAATGGTATCTGCAGACCAATGTCGGTTTTCAGATTTTTGAAATTAAAGTTTTATCCATTGTCTATATCATATTCTTCATTCCATGAATTATATCTATTCCATAATAATTAAATAATTTCACAGTTAGTCATAAATGATGATAAATTTGAGATTATCAAAATATTTCGATTTCAGTACCACGGGAAAAATTCAGACAAAATTCAAAAATTCACTACCAGTAACCTGGTTAAGTACAAATAACGCCACTCGTTGAAGTGCATTTCCCATTAGTTCTAGATTGGATGAAGCTTTTTCGATGTTTTTGCACCAGAATGTGATGCCAGCCACAGTAAGGCCAATGTCATCAACCTTCGTTTCCATCTCAGGCGGAGGATAACCCATTTTGATGCATTGTCTAGAAATACACTTTTTTATACTTCTTTTTAGAATTAGTGAAAGAAGAATAAGAATTTCAAAAAAATAAGAATTAAAAGAAGAATAAAATTTAGAAAGAATAAGAATAAGAAGAATTTCGATCAAAGCACTATCGTCAGGCTTTGTGTATTCACTGTTTTTGGAAGTGGCCAAAACACCAAAGCAATTAAATAATATACTGCTTCAACAGTTTCAGTGGAGTAAGCTGATCTCTCCAAGTGAGAGGACCTCGTGCAATATATTGTTTCGGAAGTCCTATCGTTCCTCTATGCAACGTAAGAAGGCGATTTTCCAAGTCAATTGTAGTTTGACCAATTTCATCATCTACGATTATACAAAAAATGGCCTCACATCAGAAAAAAATGAGAAAAAATGGATGAACCATTTCTCCTATAGTGACGATCAAATTCTTTTTCTCATCATTGCTGGCTATATTGGCTCTTAACTGCAAGGGAAACATTTGATTAACTTATCATTTCAGTATCAAAATTTAAATATAGAACTTTTGTAAATTTGTGTGGGCCATTTATAATCACCTGTGAATAAACGGTTTCTATTCATCACTCGAATGATTAAATCCTTTTCTAGAGGTAAATTAGCCTCCAATTCAATCATTTGCCCGAAGATTGGGTTTTCACCAAATCCATATTTGCGCTTCTTTGTTACGATATGTCTCTTTCTCTTACCACATCTAATAGATTTAATATTAAAATATTAATGTTTTATATTACAAATTATTAACATTAAATCTTGCAAAAGATGTGAATTTGTTCCATATTATTTCACTTGGAAATGATACTACTTTAAAGTAATAATAAGTAATAATAAGTAATAAGTTGAATAATAAGTAAACAATACTTGATAGATATATAAGGATTGTATCTTCCATCGTTTTTAGGGAAAACCAAGTTAAAAGCTCGGATGATATAAACGCGTACAACACATTTTGTCACACTCGTGAATTCTTTACAGATTAGTTGCATATCTAAACAAGTTGATAGTTAAATTGAAACCATACTGAATTTAAACCAACCGCATAAGTCGCCATAACACGATAAATACCACTGAAAACGAATGTGGAATCTAACTGAATGTGAAAACAAAGAAACCAAAAAATTCGCTGACAAAAGTTCTATTCTTTCAAATCATATTTCTAACCTCTCTTCACGGAACCTTCTTCTTTAATAAATACTTTTCCTTTGAGTTCACCACACTCAATCTGGTTTTTACCCAATTTTTGGAAAACATCATGCGATTTTTGGAAAATAAATGTATCAGCGAAATCTCGAAAGCCATGAAATTCATCGACTTCTTCTAATGCGCAATCGTAAACTTTAAGTGTTCCTATATTTGATCTAAAATGTCATCAGTATTTTTTCACCTTAAATTTGGATCACTTGAATTCACCTTAGATCTTCATTGTTTATTTTTATTCTATGATGTCCTTTCCAAATAAATCCAAAATATCCGTTCCACGTCGTATAATGTAATCAAAAAAAATCCTAGGTATCTTAGAATTTTATTCATAAGCAAAAAATTGTTATTCATATAAATCATTTATTCATGCTAGGGAGTCAATTTCCGTAAACTTTATTTATTAGCAGCAAAATAAGCTTTTTCCAATGACCATGTTTTGCACTTCACATTTGGAACTGCAGCTGCAGTGCTGCTACCTTGGCTCATTGCGACACTGTGTGCAAAGCATTGCCATATTTTTATTCTTCTACCTTTTCTTTATAATATTCGACGAAACACATCGACTATTTTGAAATCTTCAAAATGCGAAGCCATTTTATTAATCTAGAATATACATAAAGAACATACGCAGGAAAATTTGGCGCTCTCGCTAATTCACCAATTGAACTATAATATTTGCTCCACCAGTCGATTAGTTCATAGTCACCAGTCAAATTTTCTGAGAAATTTTTTTCGAATATATCTTCAGCCTGCGTCATTTCATTGAATTTTTTCCAATTATAAGCTTTCGATTTTTGCGGAAAAAACTTATCAGTGAGTTTGATAAAATTGATAGAAATAAAATTTAACAGATATGGAAATTTCTCAATTTAAATATGAGCAATTTAATTAAAGATCTAGAGAGTTGAAATGAAGGATTGGAAGATAAAACAATAGGATTTTCAACCAAAATGTTTCTTGTGCCCAAAAATTTTTAAAAATAATATTCTGCACCTCCATTAATGTTTTCCTCTTTATTAATATTGGTAATGAACAATTTAAAAGTTGGACAAGCTTCGATAATTGGCCCTGCGAGCTGACGATCGTTGCTCATTCAGATTATGGTAAAATTAAGAGATTAAAAGTCGGAAAGAATTTTATCGTTTAACTAAGAATAGATATCGACTTTCTCGCCTGAGGATTTCAAAATTTTCTCAGCACCCAATTTAATGGATGAGGTGAAGTATAAAATTTCACATCACATTCAGATATTAAAATTATTAATATCATAGGTTACTACCATACATAAATATTAGGCTATTAATACCTTGAGAAAATAATTTGTGCATATACATTGGTAATCCATAATAATTGATCTTCCTATCTCAAGTTGCCGACCAAAAGAATAAGTTTCATAGAGAATAATGTTCAATGGAGGTGCATATTTCAAGTTTTCTGGCAATAAGACATCAGTAAGGACAAGTAAATTGCGAGAAAAATTCGGATTTTTCTCTGGATTCTCAATAGCATCACTTCTTATTGAGCGATCACCGACTCTTAATTCCACAAAGAAATTTCCAGCGAACCACTAAAGTTATTTTTATTATTCATGAAACCATAGGTTACACCTTCAAATTTGTTTGAATATGGCAAGTCAAAATCGAACTCGATGTTTGATGTTACGAAGGCCCAAACAGAAAAAAAAAACATGATATTTCTTGAGCCTCGGGCTTATCGCAGATGAAGCTAAATATCTTATACTATTTGGTTTAAGTTTTGCCATACGAGAAAATATTGAACCAAGTTCGTACGGAAACAATTCGAAAGAGGCGAGTAAAGCAGTCCTGGAAATTTTTCATTGGAATTTGAAAAAATTAACAGTAAATCTAAAATGCATATTTCCCAATTATATAATTAATATCATCCTTATGATTTTCGCAATGAAGTTCAACGAAGCAATCACTGAAAAAGAAATGAAACACTCATAATAAATCTATTCAAGATAACAAATCTATTTTCTCAATGGATCTTATAACATTTATTCAGACTCAATGAATAGGTTAATAGTATATTTCTTGAAAGAATTTGATTTCTGCTTGTTTACAGTAACAGAATTGTCATCAAAAAGGAAGCACAGTTGGTACTAAAAATCCTATACTCTCGTCCTTAAATGGATCTCTACGAAAAGAATGCGTTGGTTGTCGAAAAACCTAGTAATTCTGGACATAATCAAATCGAGATTAATTTTATAGCTTCAAATTTTTCTAATTTCGCTCATTTTATTGCTTGCCAACCTACTGAAATCACTTTAACTGAAATCATTTCTATTGATGAATTATGAATTTAAAACTAAATTTTGATTAGTCACCGGTTACAAAAAATTTTCCCCGAGTTCTACTTTACTAATTTAAACAGCTAACGAATTTAACAAAAGCAAACTAACCCTATTTTTATATTTCCTAGTCTGAATGAATGCCAACTTGGTTTAGCGCGACTCATTGACGAATAAGAAACGTGGGGAACTGTTACAAAATAACCAATCAATTTTTCACTCCCATCAAAATGTTCTGAGCAGATTTCCACGATTATTCGAGGAGGGTTTTGCAATAAGCTACTTCCGCATAGTATCACCTGAAATAAGATAGAATGGATGATACTCGATGAAATCTCAATTTTGCAAAAGATGGTTATTGCAACATGAAACAATCTGAAACAACCTAACAACAAATAACCTTGTCAAAGATTAAAGTTTCATCCCATATCGGATTATTAGATTCCTCAACGGTACTTGTCCTCTGACAACAATTTGTAAAAGCGATTCGTACAAATGTTTTTAAGATCCCTGGTGCCGATTCTTTTAGATTTTTGGACCAGATTAGCGTAGCATGCATTTGCCACTTTGTTGCGCAACTGTACTCCTGAAATGGGTGCAGATAATTTTGATTATCAAATTCTGGTAAATTTCAATCGTACTATTAGTGCTGGAATTCTGGCATTTATGCCGAAAAAATTTACTCACCTCGTAAATACGCGGGGAAACAACTTTATTTGAAACATGCAAAGCTAATACCTTCCTAAAAAGTGAAGTCATCCAAATCAATCAGGTTTGGAGAAATTATTTTTTATTTATTTATTTTATTTTCCAAATAAAATAATTATTTATTTTTTATTCCAAATGAAATCTCTAATTCATGAAGGAAGAGAATTTTAGAATTTCTAAGAAAAAACATGAATGTTCATAAACGGAGCAAAATTAGCATTTAACTAAATTTTCAAAATCTATTTTTTTTCATTTATTTTTTTTCACTTGCCTTAAATGAATGTCTTTCGGTGGAACAATTTCACGCACATATCTTCGCCTACGGAAACGATCATTTGACATTTTTTGCATATGCACAGGTTCTCCAAAAACTCTCGCATACTAAAGTTTTTTCACGTATGAATTTAAAACTCGTACTGATGAATTTTAGGATTATTTCGCAAATCAAACACACCTCCCAGGAATCTGGATCGATAGTGCACTTAAAAGCGGCTAAATTTTCAAATACACTATCGTCATCGCGAATTCGAATGCGCCTCCAACGGCGTCTTCGGTAGTTGTGCTCTTCACTAAAATTTCATTATTTAACACATAATGAGCAGCAGTTCGCGCACAACTCGATTTCGAATTCTATCAAACTCATTAATTTATAATTTTAAAAAAAATACATAGAAAGATTTAAAAAGTGACCGCTCAGTATAATCCATCAGACTTTTATGCCCCATAAAATTTTTATCAATCGAATAAGTCCAACCATGAACATCACCAGCGCAAAACAAATCAATCGCCCATAGTCCCGACCACTTCCATCCTGAATGGTGAAATGAACATAAACGGTACGACAGTTGAAATAATTGATAAATGGATTTGTTTTTCAAAAAGTGTGCCCAAAAAAATATTTATTTAGACTCTATCAGATTATGCAGCTTTATTTTGAAATATTCTTTGGTTATTTGATACTCAAGAATAGAATATCTGACTCTTTCACCATAAGAGTCACTTGGAGATAGAGTTACAGATGGCTCCCCAGCAACCATCCGAATTTTTGACATGACAGGTTTATTCCTGTTAAAGACAGACAATTATTATAATAACTTTATATTATTTTAAATTTTATATATATATAATTATCTCAAATTTTTTTGTTTTTTAAATTTAAAAATTTAGACAATTATCGAGGAATCAGCCTATTAGATGCCTTAGCGAAAATTTTTGCTTCCCTTTTACTCAACAGATTTATTGAAGTACGGGACAGCATAATGCACTCTAGTCAAGCTGGTTTCAGACCAGGGCGCGGTTGTGCTGACCAGATATTCATGTTAAGAAGTGATGTTGGAACATCGCTTTAGATATTTGCAACTCCCTGGCACGTATTTCATCGACTTTGCAGCTTCCTTTGATTGGATTGAATTGATAGAGCAGCGCTTTGAAGAACAATGGAATGCGACGGTGTTCTAGGGAAGATCATTCGACTCATAAAGGTATTTAATGAACTTACATTGGCGCAGATCTGTGTATATGGGAAACTGACGGATTCCTTCCATATAAAAACTGGTGTCCGTCAAGGCTGCATCCTTTATCCTACAATATTCAACTATGCGATAGACTGGGTAATGGACACCGCTTGTCGGCACTCAAGAGGTGTCCACATCAGTCCAGAGCATCGTATCACGGATCTTGAATACGTTGATGATATATCTTTTGCTGACAGTTATGATGAAATGCAAATAATGCTAAATAACGTGTCAACAACTGCAGCGAGAATCGGGATCAATGTAAATAATTCAGGATCAATGTAAATAAAACGAAAGTCTTTTCGTCTTATGTGCAAGAAGCTGATAAAATGCCTCTTTTTGTAAATTCATTGCCGGTTGAGGAAGTGCCCGATTTCAAATACCTTGGGTCCACTCTAATACCAAATGGACAGGCAAAAGATGATATTATAACTCGGATCACGGCGGCTAGAAATGCGTTTTTCCGGTTGACGAAACTTTTATGGAGTCGCCGACCATAAAAACGAAAGTCTGCATCTATGTAGCCGTGATTCGTTCGATCTTGCTATATAGCTGTGAGATATGGCCAATGAGAGTGGAGTTAGTTGTTTGACTTTGACAATTTTGCCTAAGGTACATTTTATGGGTCCGTCGAAGCGGATGAAATATCACATGATCGCATCCATCGTTCATATACCACTTGCATTAATAATGTTATCACCATTACTGGTTGGTTAGGGTACGTTCTCCGTCGTCCAACAGAGGAGTTGGCGCATATTTCGTTATTTGTTAAACCGTGTGATGGATGGCGTCAAAAGCGAGGTGAGCCAATCAAGACCTGGACCGATACCGTCAAAAAAGATTTTGAATGTACAGGTGGACCAGCAATAAACGGACTTAGACAATGGAAAAGGGAATGGCTTCTATTACTTTCGACGATAGCATCAAACCGAGCCGTTTGGAAGCGTTTTACTCTAATAGCTGTTGCAGCCAGCCTAACCAGTAATGGTAAGAGCTGTTAGAAGAAGAAGAATTCGAAAGAATGCTCTCTTAAATGATTATCACCATTTCTAGTTATCTTTAATGAGTATTAATATTTCCCGCAGGAGAAAAGCTCTCCAAAAATCCGAGAGATGCTGGCCATTCACCTGTACTTCAATCGCCAAGGGACCCCCTGGCATATTTGTTTATTCCCAGTGATAAGCCAGTGGAACGAGTCCTACTAGTAGTGATAAAAAAAAGATAGAAACAAAAATAGGTTCCTATCCACAGCTGAATTACGCTTTTAATGAAAAAGTTGATTACTGTCAACTTGGGATTGAGCACATGATTTTGATAAATATTCTCATTTGATACTGAAAAAATGAAGCTTTTACTAAAGGCATCTAAATAGCTGGCTCGACTGGACAAGGTGCTTTACGAATAAATAGCAACTAGGTTTCAAAGCTATTATGCGCTTATTACCATGTATATATGATTGGTGACAAAATTCATAGCCAAATAATTAAGAATGGATGAAAATAAAAAATGGATCAAAAATGAATAAATTTGCACACCTCTCGGGGTCACTTGATCAAAAACATTGTGGACCACTTCGCCATATGCATTTATGTATTCTGTTGTTATCCATCGATTGTCCACTTTTTTCTCCATCTCATAAAATTCTTCCTCGTATTTCAAACGACCTGCATCTGGGCCTACCCACATATCATGACAAAATAAGAGTTTCCATGGACCCTTCAATTATTCAGTCGCATAATTTTTTCGATTTTCGAAAAAGTTATGCTTGATAAAAGCATAACATAAAAGCACAAATTTATTTATTTATTGAAGATTTCTTTATTATTTCTGTAAATATAACAATTCTGAGAACTTTGAGAAAGAAAAGCATACAATCAATTAGAAAATGGAAAGGATGAAAAAAATTTCATTTAAACTTAAAATGTTACCCCATATGACCAGCCTGGTGGAAGGCATATATTTTTTGCAATGGCTACGAATCCTGATTCATCGGATTGAGGGAATGGTTCACCGCTTAATATCGTTTTTTTTTTTTGTTGAATTGAAAGAAATTGAAAATAAAAAATACCGAAAATGATTTCCAGTTAGCTCATAAATCTATTTCAGGAAGAAAAGCAAAAGGAACAGTTCCACCAACTACCATTATTTATAAAAAAGATACTTGCTGCCTGTCGCCTCTCTCCAATTATCCTTTGACAGAAGATACTGATTTTCAAATATCTCAGCACAATACCATATTCGGCCTGGCTTAGTTGTCTTCTCCCATATCATTCGATTTTCATTTTTACCAAACCAAGCACGTAAATTCACGCAACCAGCAATACTATTTTTATCTTCTAATCTATCGTTTTCCAACCATTTGAGTGAAATCAATCGTTGCTGACCACAGTAGATTCCGCAATAATATTCTTTGCAATCATAAGCAATCTAATTTATAAATTTCCTATTTAAAAGATATTCATCATTTTTATGTTATGATTATTAGGAATTGGCGAATATTTACTATTCCCTATTAGGTTGATTCCGCTGGTCATTAGGATGCGACGCTTTTGCTTTTGTTACTTCATGGTAGAAGGGAACTGCGGATTTTTGAGATAATGAAATAATCAAGGCTCAATACTCCCCTCTTACTATTTTTTAGGTGGATGAATTAAGATAATAATGTAAATATTTCTAGATAATTGATCAAAAAGAATCGAAAAACTTGCCTCATAAATTGGAATCTTAGCATATCCTATTATTTTCAAACCATCCCTCACTGTGATCACTAAATTCGGTATAGATATTTCATCTTTGAAGAAGATGCTTTGAATATATTTCAAAGTTCCAACAATACACTGTAGTCCAATCTATTTTAGAATGGAATTAGAAAAAAATTGTTGACAAAACCCAAAGTTTGAGTGTATTTATTCAAGTTCCTCCAACCATCTAGGCAGTGAAAATGGACTGAATATAAAAAATCCTATCGCAGCAATCATTAAATTCTTATTAATCGGGCAATAACCAGTTAGCACTGTGGTACCTGCTTCAGATGCTTATAATCAATCTTATTAAACTTGACATTCCAAAAGTTTTCTGCTACCATAGAAAGAAGTGTTTTAATAAGATCGAGATGAAAGCAATCAATGTTCATTAAATGCGATTCTTCCCATATTTCGCTGAAAAAAGATTTTTTCAATAAAAGAATAAAATTTAAGTTATAAAATTCCTGCAAAGATAATGGAATAATGAAAAATCCTCTCTCTTATGAAAAGCTCTTATGAAAAGAGCTTACAAAAAAAAATTTCACAAAAAAACGCACAGTGATGATAGTTTAAGTATGGCATCGCAAACGGATGCAATGAGTTTAATTCTTTGAGCATTAAAAAATCTAACTCCTTGTTTTCTTTTGTCTTATAAATCACCCTTTTATCTTCATGGCTTAGAAAAGCTATTTTACATTTGTACCTTAGCAGTCACACATCAGTCATTGCTAGGTAAATATCTGCTAAAATTTTTGCATATGATTATTATATCTATTTCTGAGTATTTCAGGAAAATTTTCATTGTTTTATTGTTTACGTTGTTTTTTTATTTAAAAACATCTTGTAATTGTATACGCACACTGAGAAAGCAAATACTTTTCTGAGAATTTTATATAGCACTATACCTCTCTGTGAGCAAATGTAAAATAAGGCATAAATCTTCCATAGTTTCGACGACATTTGATGAAGCTTCCAGTGCACTGCAGGATTCACCCTCAATTGTTTCCGCACATTCACTAAGCATTTTTATCATCTAAAGTTCAAAGTTTTGAAAAAATCGACTACCATTTATTAAATAATTTTATTTATGTGATAAATAAACCAAAAATATTTTGGAAAAAGAAAATTTTCGTTCGTGTCATCTGGAATTCAAAAATAAAAACTTAAAATTATAAACAAAGAGCAACAAATTTTATCAAACTTTTTGTAAAATATTGCAATATTTTATAGCAAAGCTAATATCTTCCCAATCGCAGGGAATTTCGCAAACGGGTTTATAATTTCCCCACGGCATTGCGTAATATTTCTCACCCGTGTACATCGGTAATACCGGAAATATTTTCATCTTATAAGAGAGTATTAATGGCACAAATTCACTGGTGTTAATTGAAACGGATAAAACAATTAAATGTTTAAAAAAGGGAATTAAATAAAAAATACAATGAAAACAACGAAAACGGTTGGAATTTAATCTCAACATCCTTGTTTTTAATAGCTAATTTACTTGCATTTTAGGCTCCTTTAAAGATAGGAGTTTTAGCTGAAGCAGCTTATCGACTGCCCTGTCTCCTCTTTCATTGCTCTTTCATTTCTAATCGAATGAAAATAGTTCCCTCTCCGCTATACCAGATTTTGTTTTATTTGTTTGTTTTATCATTATTTAAAAATATAAATCTTATAGACAGGAAAAGAGAGAAAAGTAAAGTACCGCCAGCGTACGGTTTGCGAAATTTGTTACGCCTGTGTGTAAATCATTGCCGTAATGACCGATACTCGCCACGAAGCAAATATTTTTTCCTCTAGAGTTGGCAAAAAAGTTTTTAATGATATTGCAGGTCGTGTTCTCTTTTCTAATGTTAAAAAATCACCTTAGTGATGGATGAATAAAGTTGGCGTCGAAGAAAGTCGAACATAAAACATATTGGCAAAATAGTCGTGGCAGTCGACTTTCGGCCAACCGTAAATCTCTCGAATGAATAAATTTTTTCGAAGTTTTACGGCATAAATCATCTGTGCATCGAATTGTAAGCAAAAGCCGACCAACGAACCTATTTTTTTCTACATTGTCTCCCTCATTAATAAGTTCACGTATTCTTTGGCTGCTTTGGCATTATCTGTTTTTATTTTTATTTGACACTAATTTTATTTATTTTGATGGGCCGTTGGCTCTCAAGTGCTAAATCTCATATAGGGAAGGGCAATCGTAAGTCACTCGTTCCTAAGTCCGTTCCTAACATTATCTTAAATGGTACTTATTGCGTATGTTCATATGGCATTCGTAAGCCTGCGGTAGAAATTAATTTTTTAAAGATTCCAGCGAATACAAGCAATCTTTGTTTTCTAATTTAATTTCTATATGCTAAGGGCTTAAAAAGCAATGGTATAGATAAATGAGAAATATAGAAAAAAATCGAAAATATTCAACCAATGTTCTTCGATCCTGCAGTTACCACAGTTACCACATGTAGCGGTGCTCAGCGTACTATTTAAATCTTTCAAAATGGAGTAAAAGTTGATAAAAGATGGTCCAAACAAAGGTAAGAACCTAAATAAAGTGAAAAAAAGATCATAAATTGGTACATTTTTTCCTGAAAACATTTTGTCCTTTCCATCTTACTTATTATTATGCACTGTTGTAACTATTTCGCTGCTACGCCACTGATAGATTTTCGACAAATTTAGTTTAGCAACTGCAAGTATTGTTTTTTTTTTGCCTGTTTTTGAACGATGTACCGAAATAATTCGAAACACTATCTGAAAAATTTATCTCTCATTGGTCAATGATTTGATCTGTTCGAGAAATTTGATTGAGTTTAAAGGAGTTATAAAAAATAAGTTTATTAAGCATTTATTAAAGGCAATAAAATTTTGAGGCTCCAAAATGGAAAATTTTAAAGCATTTGACCAACGTTTAGTCGAATAATATTACGCTTTAGTCGAACCAGCAGTACATTAACGTTTTCAACGTTTTTACATAAACCGGGAATGGGATAAATCATACATTTTTTGAAATACTTGGCCATAGCAATGGAAATTTTATTTGCACATTGAAATTGAACGCTCCTTTATTCGCATCGAAGGCACCCGCTATCACTTTTCGCCGATTGAACTATTATGAAAATGTTAAAAAGACAGGGAATTAAGATAAGATTAAATAAACACGCGAAAACACAATTTAGCTTGCGCCACTGAAAAATATAAATTGGAAAAAGCATCAAGCTTACTTCAACTTCTAACATCAATGAATTTTTTTGAATGTTGCGAAGTTGGTCTGCCAATTCAGAAATTTCGAGAATTCTTACCTGAAAGTATGACCACATTATTTTTCGAAAAAAAATGATTATAATTTTTGCTATGTGCATACTCGTAAAGTGAAGGTCGGAAGCGATTCAGCAAAGAGAATATCGGCATTATCGTCATCGTTTCCTGCATTCGGAACAAAATGTTCTAAAGGCCGCGGCGGACCATGAGCTCTCTGCACGCTTATTGATACCTGCACAGAAATTCATATATATATATATATTTTTTAAAGAATCCTCACCATTATTGGTTAAACTCGCATGGCTTATCACATTGAGCAATATTCCAGGGAGTATCCCTTGACGATAGAAATATAAGTGAGTCGCCAGCATCACCCGGATTTTTGGACAGGTTTATTCCTGCGAGGAATCGAACCTCAGCACCGGCGCTCCAAACTGAGCAACAACCCACTCTGCAGCTCTACCCTCAGCAATTTATACATATATATATATATATATATATATAAAATCATGCTCATCTAAATAAGTATGCAGATTTGAAAAGAAAATTTTGAGCGTCTGAGGTAAGTAAGTAAGTATGAACCTAAGATTTTTATTTTTTAAGTTCATAGCCTCGTTTAAAAATAATCTGCGAACGTCGCTTTAGAAATTACAAAAACCTTAAGATACTTTAACCTTAAGATATCCTCGAATATCGGTAAATTTCCCATCTCCATCAACAAAATCTGTTGCTGAAGTTCCATTCTGCAAAGGAAGCCATTTTTCATGAACCATATGGTTTTTACAGTTATATATGTAGCCTAATTCGCATCGGAAACTTCCAATTAGCAAATTATTCACATTTGAATTCATCACCTGAACCAGAATTAAACATAATTTGAAAAATCACTTCAAATTTTAAAAACGAAGACGAACTGAAAACTCGATGATTGTTTGCATCAGTTCATGCGGACTCTTCTTAATTGAAAAACAGTGAAATTCATTCCATTTTGGCGTACTTGTCCCTTGCGGAGGTAGTTCCAGTACTTCTTCACCTATTGCAACTTCAACGAAAGGATTTACATAAAATCCAAACAATTCTCGTAATTCGAAAATTTTAACGCAGATCTGTAGTGCAATTTCTGTTAGAATATGTCACTTTTACGAATTTTTTGCGAAACCTAATGCTCTTCTGTTTTTTGGGACATTTTTTGTATTTTCAGTTTTGTGAAGTTTTGGCAGTCTGAAATCTCTCTGTCCCATTCACTGTAAATGCAAATTATTTGCTTCGATAATTTGAAAATTAAAAAATTAGTGGTAAAAATAACTAAAAACAGTTGAAAACCATCTTCGGCTATAATTTTCGAATTCTGTAATAAAGATGGATAGTCAGAAATGTTTTTAGATCTTTTACTTTTAAATAGTTTGGTTGTTTTTTTGTTGTCCTGAAAAATGAATTTGCCTGAAACTAGATAGCGATAAAATTTTTAGATGCAGAAAAACATGAAACTAAGTGCAAAGGATCAAAAGCGCAAGCTTACTCAAGACTTGATTTTTGACAAATCTTTATTAAATTCCCGATTGCAGTGATGCTCTTGAGACCAGCGATATATGGACTTAGACGATGGAAAAAGAAATGACTTTTGTTACTACTAGCGATGGCGTCACCGAACAGCTTGGAGACTTTGTAGCCAGTAGAGCCAGCCTAAGAGCCACTAATGGCGAAGAGGTTAGATATATTTCATATTTCGAAGCATCTTAAAAAAATTTAAAAAAATTGCTAACTAAGTGCTGGTACTAACCAGAAAGCTCTGTTCTTCGTTGGAGAATAGTGATCTTGTGTGGTTATCACTCGTCATTGAATTGTTTTCGGTCGAATCAGATGGCACAGAATTTTCTTGACAATCTGTTGCTTTGTGTTGATTTATTTCATCGTCAGATCTCGATATCTTTTCTAATATTTGCGATCTTTTTACCAAACTTTGTACTAAGTTTCGCTTGAAGTGTTGTTGAAGATCAGACCTTTTTGTTTGAATATCCGACATCGCTTAAAATAAAATAAATTTTAAAAGATTCCTTTTGATTATCCAAATACTCTCCAACAGCTGACAGCTCATAAGATTATTTATGCTTTATGATTCGTATAAATTTGCAAATATTGCTTAAATGTCGCCTTCTCAAATTTTATCTTTTCTTATGTTATCTTACTCCATTTAATTTCCGCACCACATTTTCCACCCACATCTATAGCAATTATATTTTGCTTATCGTTTTTAATTCTGTTAATTTACCAGTTCAGTGAATATAACTTATATATCACCATTCTTCCACTGCACTGCAAGGTATAAATCTATTCCGAAATTTTTGAACCATTAACAAATTGGTGAAAGTGAAAGTGAATGAGCGCTGGACAAGCTCGCAAAAAAAGGCTTGGATTAAACGCTAAACTGCTTTGACTTTACTGCCTTTATTTTGGCGAAATAAAAAAAAGAAATCTTAAACTAATTATAACCATAAGCAAATTAAATTGTTCGAACTTTTTAGAATGATGAAGAACCATACAACCGTTCGACAGAATTCATGAAACAAAAATAATCGCGCAAAAAAATTTCAAATTTCAAAATTTACATAAATTTATTCGCTGCGTCAAATAATTATGCAAATATTACAAGCTACTTTTGCGAGGAGTAGGACCTCAGCATCAGCGCTTTGTATTGAGCAATAACCCACTGAGCCATTGTGTACGTCACGCTAAATTTACCACGGGTTTGAGAAATGTTATATTTCAAAAATAATCACAATCATCGCACTGTTAAGGGTATTGGCAGGTCAAATTTCAGCAGCCTACCACCATGAATTCTATCGAAGTTCTGCCGCTGTTTTCGACCCTATCGGTATAGCACTCCTCTGGTGTTCCAGAAAAGACCATCAAACTTATTAAAGTACTTTATCTGAGAACGATAGCGCAAGTGCCTGTGACGAACTGATGCAATAATGCTTCAAGATTGTCCACTATATTTCGTTCTGCCGCTGTTTTAATAGCAAAGCCAGTCAGTTTTTTGGGGAAAAGTGATTCAGCGAAAAAAGACTACAAAATCCAGCATCGCAATTTTTTGAGAATTTTCATTCTTCGCTCTTCTATTCTGTTTTCTCCACTATATTTTTGGACTATGCGATAAACTTAGAATCGGTTGTGAATATAGCTTGGGAGCACTAAGGAGGTCTGGTGCAGATCAGACAGATCATGACACCACAGACCTTAAATACGATGCTAATAGGTCTGGATATCAAAACGCAAAAACTTTTTATATCTTATATACGTATTGTGATTCTTAGATCCAGTGATCATTTGAAAGATGAGGTCCCGACCAGGCGAAGGATGGATTGCTGCGGAATGTGAATGTCTCGATCTGGCTGAACCTCCATGGAGTCGCAATGAAAACGCCTCGCATATGTGTGGATACTGTATAATTATATATAATTCTTTATTGCTGCGAAATAATCAGTGAGAGTGGAAAATATTGGAACTGCAATTCTATTTTTGAGCGCGTCTGCCTAGGTCAGATACTCACCACGCGCATATTACCTCACATAATAGCAAAGCCAGTCAGTTTTTTGGGGAAAAGTGATTTAGCGAAACTACAAAATCCAGCATCGCAATTTTTTGAGAATTTTCATTCTTCGCTCTTCTACTCGTTTTTCATATTTATGGTGCAGTTTTCTAGATAATTTATTTTTCAAGTCTATAATCCAACGCATGGTCATCATTGGTCATCAACTGAACAAATAGATTGCTTCCCCTATCAATTTATTCAATTCATATCGCTTCCTTCCCGTAAAACCCTGAGGCAAACTTCAGTTTATCGCAGAAATTAATTGCAAATTACTTATGAATTATTTATTTAAATTGTAAATTCTTAACTTATTTAAATTGTAAATTCTTATGAATGTAACTATGGATTTAAATATTTTTAATAAATTCCTGAGAAAAAAAAGAAAAAATGCAGCAGAATTTTGAATTCATTCAGCCTTTTCCAGGGAAAAAAATTCGAAAGATTTAGTAAATAACCATTATTGTATCTAACATTCTGCGCATAAAAATCCAAATACCTCTTTAAACTCAAATATAATATATATATTTTATTACAATAAAATGTTTTAAACAATTTTAATTCAGCAAAGACAGAATTGTTTTTCGATTCTTTTATAAAGGAGCGTTGTGTGTCCGATGAAAATTTGACGGATGGTTTCAGTCCATTGCCGATTCCGTTGTCTCATCAGTTTTCTTATTCTTCAATGCACATACTGGCAACAATTATTTCATCGTTTAAGAATAGGATGGTTTAATGTTGAACGGTTCTCCGTAGATTTCTCCTTTCAAATTGAGTCATAATAAATATTGGATCATTGGAACTTTCGAATTTTGCAGAAATACTTGGACTAAGCATATATTTCCTGTGAAAGAAATGATTTAAACTTTTGTCGAAAGCTGCGGACATTTTTTGCGTTCGCTTAATTTTCACCTGATCTTCTGGCAAATTTTTAGAAATTTTTTTTCTTTTTGTTTGGTCTTTTTCTTGCTCATTAATGCTACAATTTTCTCTTAAAGCATAGAAAGATTAATCGCCCATGCCGATCTTTCAAAATTTGTTGCATTTATTTTCACTTTCAAATTTCAAATTGCCACATTTGTAAGAATTACGATTTCTGAATGGCATAATGATGGAACGAGCAATGCTTAGGAATTACTGGAATTACAAGATAAATCAGAGATGTATTTTGTTTAATAGCTGAAACTGAGCTGGATCTACGCTGGAAGAAATCGAATTTGTACGGTTTTCAGTGGTTCTTTCGTGATTCTTCGTCATTTGCAACATGACTCTTTTCTTCATCGATTTTTGTTTTTTGACTACCATTTGTTTACCATAATTAATTTAGTTTAGTGAAACGATGTTTTGGAAGAGTTTTCTGGCTTCCGGTTCATTGTCTCGATTGTGTTCTTAAATATTTTTTTCTCTAATATTCTATTCTATGCATCATAAAATCCTGAAATACAGGAAATGAAAGCCAAATAAATTAAAATCGAGTTAAAAAAATATAAAGAAATACTAATTTGCATCCAAAAAGCTTACAATCACCTTAAATCATTTTATCTATCTCTTCAACTCCTTTACGCATCCTTCCTCTCAAAAACATCTCCTCTAAAACCGTTCTTTTCTATGAGTTGCACAAAGAGTAAAATCCTGGTTTTCATTGTAAGTAACTGAAAATCCATTGCATTTCGTTATGCTTTAAAAGTACTCCATCACTCCTCTTACTCCTCTTTCAAACTTCTTTAACCTTAATGAATACCTTTAAATACCCAGTTATTTATATGCTTCACTATTTTCTCTTTTCGTTAACCCTCTAAAAACTTTCTAAAACTTCATAAAATAACTCGTGAACGACGAATTCTATATTGTCTCTCTTCTTCTAAGCAGGTACCACAATATCATTTTACTTTTAATAAAAGCTGTGCTCGATAACAGGAAACTATTAACCTTATATGAAACAACAAATCACTTCATCTTTTCGCGCTTCAAATTTTACCAAATTTTGCTATGGTCCCTCAATACTTAATAGTAAAATATAATTTGCGCAATCAGGGCGCCGCATCGTAACAATCTCTTCATTCATACTATACTCCTTAAATACTCCTCTAATCTCTCTTAAAGAAAAATGCCGTTGGCATAGTAGGAAATCGCAATCACAATTTTTCTAAAATTTCATCTTTTTCCTCCTGCACTCCCACCCCCTATTCCTGTTAGATTCCTATTCAAATTCCGTCATAATTTTTAAAGATCCTCCAAAGATCCTCTATATTCTAAATTGAATTGATATTCCCTCACAGTTTGAGACTACTAATATAACCAAAAATTTTCTCAGCGAGACTTTTAACTAGCAAAATTATTAAATAAAGTTTACGATGAAATTGCATAATACTTCAGTCAACAGAAGCTGCAGCTCCGGGATAGCCAAGGCGAAAACGACTTTGTGTCATATGTTTTAACATTTCTTCGTAATAAATTTGAAGTTATTCCTCCGTTTGCGATATCAGTTTGATTTTTTCCATAGATTTTTCACGACAATTTCCAAATCCTGAAAATCGTATTAAATGTTTTAGAAAAAAACAAAAATATTCTAATTACACTGCATAATTCGTTTCACGCATCTTTATCAAATGGTTTATTTTTGAGCATATAATCCAATTTTTCCAACAATTTTCTACAAATTTCTATAATTTTAACTTTTACTATGGTTACAATCAATTTTATTTAACAAAATTACATCATGCAGTCGTAAATTAGAAGTAAATCTGGAAACTTTTATTTAAGAAACTTCGAAGTGAGCGATGCATCTGCGCGAAATATTCGTTTCATCATTTTTATCAAAGTTCTGTTCACATACCTGGCGGATACCGATAAGTGATATCTGGGCGAAGAAAAAAATGAATTCCCCAGGCTCTAGCTCAAAATGGATATTTCAGTGATCTCAGTCAGTTGGATTGAGATAACCTCTCTCTCTCGAGCGTTTCTCATATGCGGAATGCATTAATACCTGCAAAATTATTTATATTTGCAAATGAATTTCTGAATCTCCGAAACCAGCAACAATTCAGTCAGCCAATTCAGTCCTGTGAAAATATCAAATTACTGTTCCACATATCATTCATGTGGTAAGGAATATGATAATCTGGTTCTTGTTAGATCTGGATGGTACTTCTTGGCTATGGTTCATCATCAGATATTGCGAACACGAACTCACCACAAACTACGAAACACCTTTAGATAAGCGTTTCTTTTCTTCAATAGCTCATCGAACATTGCTGAGTTGAAACCTATTAAATAAATAAGTAACCATGCTCTTTTAAACTCCTTTATAAACCGAGTAGTAGATCTTTGACAACACTCATTCGTATTATGTCTTCGTTAACCTCACTTTTGCTGTAAACAATTAACACTCGCTTGAGTACCTCATATACTTCCTTATGATCTTTAAGAGTTATTACACTTCCCACCTTCCCACTATCTTCTTATCTCTTAATAAAGCTATTTTGCATTCGTTTATGACTCCACTTCTTTATACCCCATTATATCTCCATAACATGAACTCAAGTCTCTGTTACTGAAACTCTACTTGCTAAACCATGTGATGGATGGCATCAAGAGCGAAGAGGACTAACCAAGATCTGGAATGATATAGTCAGGAAAGATTTTGAACATATAGGGATACCAACGATATATGGATTTAGACGATGGAAAATTGTATTACTGTCAGCGATAGCAACGGACCGAATAGCTCGGAGACGTCTCAGCCTTGTAACCAACACAGTCAGTCTTACCAGTAATGGTAAGAGCAGTTAGAAGAAGAAGAATGTGTCGATTCTACAAAACTGCATATTTAATAATTGAATTAATAATCGTTTGAATGGTCCAAAGCAACAATTACATCTACTAAATCCTTCGATTGAAATCTAATGAGATAAAAGTTGATAAGCGAATAGAGATTGTGACCAAGGAATATTCGACGAAGTGATGAGCAAAAAACTGATAAGCTGATAAGAAATGACAAAATGGTAATGGCAATTGAAGAGATGGTGAAAAAAACAATGAAAATATTACAATGCAAAATTTAGTGGGTAGAATAGTCGAGATGCTCCAGCGAAAATCAAGCCATCGTGCGTTCCTTGACAGAGTGGATTTGCCACTCACGTTTCGCGAATTTCTGCGGCTCCGATTACGAAGGTGATATCACAACGCGTTCGGCCCGAACAAGCCGGTCAGCAGGTGACTTTTGCAAGCACTTATCCATCGAATGCGTTCCGCCGGAGATGGCAACTTTCACTCCATTTTAAAGTTTTCATTTATTGCAGTGAATATGAATTTTAATTTTCGCAATTTTAAAAATTTTATATTAAATATTCGATCTAAATTTTGATAATTTAGAAGTGTAAAAATGTGTAAAAATCATATTTCATTCAAATTAAGAAAACTTAGAAAAAAATAGCATTGAAAATAGCACATAACAAAGAAAATACAAATTTTATTTCAATTTGAAATAAAGTGCATTTAAATTACCGCCGATGAAAGACTATTTTGCAGCTTGCACATATCGGCTTATGCGGATTCATTTATAATTCTCTATGTACTCACGAACGCTTATCTATCGATTGGGCTTAGTGATGTGAAGTAGGGCAGCTAGGGTGAGGTCTTTGACTCGTAGTTCCCTCGTGATTTAATGGCTTAACGCGTTTTGTGGCGACTGGTTTCGTGAGGATTCACATTTAATTCTACTAATATAGTTAAAAGTTGTTTAGATGAAGGCTTTGAAAAGTTATTAAACGATTTGTTATATTTTTAGCAGTTTGCTTTTTCTGCATTATTATTCTAAAAGCCCAAATTTTTAAGTATATCTATCCGCTAATGGTGCGACTATGTAAACCAAAGCTGAGCCTTAATCCCTGTAAGCTATTTTTGGCTCAAGAATATTGGCCGCACCGACTCCAAACCAGTTCTTGCTTCACGCTTCTGTTACTCGTTTCATTGGCAGATGAGAAATCTGCTGAATTCCTTTCGAATCGAAAGACGAAACAATTTTCAGATAATATGATAACTCCTTTCTATGTATCAAGCGGTATATTGGGCTCATTAAATTTGCTGCGAGCCATAGCACCTCTTGGCTTGAAGTCGGTTCGTACTTCATACAGTGAGTTTTTTAATTTTTTTCATTATTCTTTCATATCAATTTTATGATAAAGAGGTTCACTTAATTTTAAAGGTGACTCGCCAGCACCACTCGGATTGTTGAACAACAGGTTTACTTCTGCAAGGATTGTTGGTCCCGTTAAATAAGCAATAACCCACTAGACCATTTCACCCTCTTAAATATATTATAGAATTGAAAAGATAGTGAAGTAAAGAACTTATAATGATTCTGATAACGGAATAATATCTTTTATATTATTACCATCTAAATTATTGATAAAATTTTGATTTAGAATATGTTGGTGAAGCAGCGACAAGCGATGGAACTCTTCAGGGTGATATTAATCGAGGTTTTCATACGCTATTCTTTACGGAACTTTTTCGAGGTTTCTTTCCTTTTTTTTTCTGTTGTTTTCTTTCCTTTTTTAGATTTTTTTTAGATAAAGAGATTTTAAGATATCATTTTGAAATGAACCAGTTTTTATTTTTTTACTTAGTCAAAAGCGATCGGTGTTAAATATATTTTGAGGATTTTATGTTAGAATAAATTGCGAAATAACTTTAGACAGTTAATAACATAATTTATATATTATATTCTGTGGAAATCAAAAATTTGTTGTTCAAAGATATCTGGAAATCTTTGATTATTGAATGAATAATTACGCATTTATGAAAAAGTTTATGATTGCAGGGTTCGGAGTAATGTTAGGGCATTTTTTTGCTGAACCAGCTACTATAAATTATCCTTTCGAAAAAGGACCCATAAGTACGAGGTTTCGTGGTGAACACGCTTTACGCCGGTATCCTTCAGGCGAAGAACGATGTATTGCTTGTAAATTGTGTGAAGCAATTTGTCCAGCGCAGGTATTTCTAGTTTGTAGTTAATTGTAGTTAATTTTTATCTTATTTGATAGAGTTTATGTAAAACTGGTTTACTGTCCTTATTCAGTCGTTTATCATTAATTCTCATTATTTGTTGAATTGTTGATAAAAATTCATAATTTTCTTAATCTGCAGCAAAATATTTTAGGCAATAACAATAGAAGCTGAAACACGACCAGATGGCAGTCGGCGTACAACTCGATATGATATAGATATGACGAAATGTATTTATTGTGGATATTGTCAAGAAGCTTGCCCTGTTGATGCCATTGTCGAAGTTGAATTTTCCCTTCAAAAATAATCAAATAAATTAATTGATAAAATGGTGATAAATCATTTAACCATGTGAATTTTCTTATCATATAAAAAAAATCTCTTTCTTATTCCCTGTGGGTGATAAGGGTCATTTTTATCTTGGTTCCTTTGACATAGACCTAGGGAATTGAGGATTCTGCTTAATATCTTAGATGCTTCTATCACTTATGTCTTCTAAACAGAGATTTCTCATGTTACTCCTGGAATCCAAAAGTCGCTTTTTTAGGAGTTACATTTTCTGGTGCTTCACTTGTTACTGGTATTTGGCCTTTATTTTCCACATCTTTGTTTTCTCTTTCAATATTAATATTTCTCTGACTTCGCATATTCTTTTTTCTTAACCTTACTTTCATTTATTATTGCTATATCTATCACTAGTACTTGTCTACTACCATGATATTTGTTGATTGGCCAGAATTTATTTATCAGTCTAGATGGAGAAATCCCACAAGATTCTCGCCTTATTCTCCACGATTTTCTGTGGAATCTTCCATCTAGTCTTGATAAACCATATACTGAACAAATATTACGAGATATTGCAGATATTCCTATAGGTGATACGAGCTATTTAGTTATCTATTTAGTTAATTTTTATGCATTTTAGATATTTTAGATCTTCTGAAGATAAAAATCAAAAAACACCTTATGTATATGTTTTTCCTGCTTGCATTCTGCCACTGTTCTAAGGCTTTTTTGCACATTGTGCACCTTATATCCTATCAGGTGTGGTAGATTACTGTTTTCATGGATCCGGTGCTTGGTTCCTCTTCTTACGCTACTGTTGCTGTGGTCGGTACCTTAGTACCTTAGCTGCCTTTTATTCCATCTTTTTCCGGACATTGGTATTTTATGCTTTTCTAGTTCATTTCTTGTTTTTTATTTATTATTTATTTATAAAATAATCGGTTAAAATTTTATTCAATTTTATTTTTATTCAAAATTACAGGAAGTCAAGTCAAGTTTGAACTAAATTTAAATTTTTTAATCGAATAAATTAAAACAATATCAATTAGCCAGCTGTTAAATTAATTATTAAAATTTTTTTCTCACGTTTTTACTTTTTGAATTTTATCTTTAGAATCTATTCATTATCTATTTATATTTTATTTATCCATTTATAAAAAAAATAAATGGAATCTGCAAAAAAAATTATTTTCGTATTCCATAAAAAATTATATTTAATTATATTAAATTTGTTTTTCTTTTGTTAGTTAAGAAAGTTGAGAAAAAATCGGCACTTTTTATGGGTTTGCTTTCTTAAATTTTATCAGTTCTGAAATCTATTTTTTTTTTAATCAACGGTTTCATTGCTGAAAATTTATTATGAATGTTGTTGTTAATAGAAAGGTTGTTAAAATAAAGTTTAGCCCCAATTTTAGGGTCCAAATTTCGAGTATTCTACCGAAACTCATGAAGAATTGATTTATAATAAAGAAAAATTGCTATCAAATGGTGATCGATGGGAACCAGAACTTGCTGCAAATATTCAAGCCGAATACCTCTATCGATAATTTTATTCTAGTTAGATAATTTATTAGATAATTTTTTTGCATCTAGCATTGCATTTAATCTAGATCATTCGAGTAGAATACTCATTTCATAATTGTCTAAAAGTTTTTAATGATTGTTGATGATTTTAAATATCATTATAATTATTATGAACAAATTTTTATGCATTTTAGATACTAATTATTATTTGTTATATTGGAAATTTAATGGAAATTCAGTTAATCTATTTTTTCATCACAAAAAGATTCAGTTGATCTGTTTTTATTTTGAAACATGGGTTGATTTTGAATCTAAGTAAAAAATGATTATTAATTCAACATTAAATTAGCTCGTCGAATTGTTATAGGGTCCAATGAATATTCATTGTTATGCTTCATGTGTATTTTTATGTTCTTGAATGAATGAAAATTTTTTTCCCACTTTTTTTCTCCAAAATATTCAAGGATATTACCATTAATATACTTTTGCTTGCTTCCTTACCTACTCATTTCAATTTTCTGCGCCTATATTCTGGCGCAAATAATTCAAAATATTATTTTGCAACATTCTTTATTTTCATTCAACCATAAAACCTTAATTTTTGCTTTTTTTTATTGAATTTAATTTTGGTAATATTTTTCCGTGGGATTTTTATTTTGTTTTTTTTTAAGAATGTAAGTTTTATTTTATTTTTATTTTTGAAATGATTTATCAGAAAAACTTTATCTGGCAATCAGTTGTTTTTTCTCGTCTGGGAATCTGCTCTTTCTTTGCGTTTTTTTATCATATTTGGTCTAAATTATGAATTAAGCTGTTCGGCCAAGTAAGTAATTTACATTCATTATTTCTAGTTAGATCGGCTGTGTTGTTAGTTTGGTTAGAAATTTTTGTGAAGAAGTCACTTTAGGTAAGTTATCGGGTTTTTTGAACGGATTAAGATTTGTTCCTGTCGAGTGGGAATATTTACTTTAGGATGCTAATCTAAAATTGGTCTTCAGAGGTTTAAGGTGATCGATCTATTATAGTTTATTCCATTTTTCTGGTGAATAGTGAAATTTTTCGAAAAAGCTGATAAAACAAAAAAATACAAAACAAAAATAATGCTCGTTTTGTTCATTAGAAATTTGGATTTCTTGTTGGATTTTTTTATTTCAGCGGCAAAGAAATTAATAATTTGAGGTTTTTTTAAGATTATTTTTAAATTAAGTTTTTAAAAAATCAATCAATTTTGTGTGTTTGTGGGAATATTCGTCAACTTTGAATATTTCTTGTTTTTACAAAAATATTCGCTAAAGTCAAATACCTTTTTGCGTGGAAATAATGTCTCTAATATCGTAACTTCTGTGTATCAATTTCTTTAATTTATGCATGAAGAGAATTAATATTTTAATTTTATCTTTCTCATTTTTTAGCGATTCTCTCTGCTAAGATCGCTATAAAGTGGTGTTACCTGGGAAATTTGGTTTTTTTCAGTTTTTATTCGCCAGTAATTTGATCAGCAAGTGGATATCTCTTTGGAAAAGCTCGTATTCATCATGTGATATGATATTTCCTGATGATTTCTATCGAGCTGGAAGACACTTTTTTCCCACCGGGGAAATCTTTTCCTTTCCCTCGCGTGGTACTTTCTCCAATATTCCCATTAACACAGCTATATCTCCTTTTACAATGTTTCTTTTTCTACCTATTCAGTGCAGTGCAATAATGCTTAATATTTCCTTTTGCTCTCTCACCGTCTATTCATTGGTCGATAATTGCGTAACAATTTTTTATTGATTGAATGGCATCTTTGAAGTTGCCGATTAGTCGATAAGTCAATTATTTTTAAATAAATTATTGATTTACACCATTTAATTGTTGCATTATTAATAGAATGCTTGATAGACTATAGAAATGCAAAGAAGAGAATTACAAAGATTAGAAAGAAAAATGGTTATGAATCAAATATGTAAATATGTACTAATTTGCGTATTGTTTTTCATTTTGGGTTTTTGGTTTTTGGGCCACGTAAATCGCGTCAACCAAATATTTCGTTCGCTAACGTCAAACAATTTTTTCGTGGAAATGCTCTTTATCGTAAGTTACGTGTTTTTCCACGTAAAAATGAGCATTAATGTTGATATGCGTACCGTTTTCTTTTCTCTTCTTTGTCTTTTCCTCCCTCTTTTCTCATATTGGTGCGCTATTTCTCTGTAAATTATTCACTGTGTAACATTGATAGGATTTTTCGTCTATTTCGTATCCTATAATCTTTTATTTTTGTGTCCATTCCCATAACCTATGTAAATGTGAATAAGGCTAGCAAAGGTAATGGAAAATAAAAGTCGCCACTGTCCATTTAGCCGAAAAGTACCACGAGCTATCAGTGCTTCAAATTTTTGCGGCACTTTTATCAGCACTTCAAATCGTATACCATAATGATTCCTTATTATTTTTTAATCGTTTATATGATTAAAATGCAAAAAAATTATTTAATTAAATTCATGATTTCTATTTGGTGTGTGGCAACACGATTGCGGCTAAGGATTAAGAATGGCTTCGAAAGAATGATTTCGATCCGGCCGACGTGCCATTCTTCTCGAGTGACAGTGTCGCCAAACCAAAGGGGATAAAAAGGCTCAATGGGTTGTTGCTTAGTTTGTAGCGATAGTGCTTGAGATTTGGTGTCCGTCAAAAATAGATCCAGGTGGTACTGGCGATTTATCTGTGCTTCTATCGCCAAGTAACTCTGAGCGAGCCACGTCGGCAGTGGCAGTGAGTGTCTTAGAAAAAAGCAAACTTCTTTGTTACTTATTTGCCAACGATAAAATCAGTCTTAGATGTGGAATGCACTTGACGAAATAATTTGGACTATAGAAATGAAAAAGCAAATTATGGATTATTAAATGAATGCCATTAAATGGCATAAATGTGGTTCAAAATGAACAAATATTTGCGGATAGTTTTTTCCCGATCTTTGACCTTTGCCCCGTTGACCTTTCGCGAAATATTTTTAAATATTTTGAATTTAACAAAAACATTGTAATTTTATTTTTTTGGAAGGGCAAAACGCGGATTCGAAAAATTTGTAAAAATGAACGATAATTTCAGAGATATTGATCGGTTAGAAATAACGTACTATAAAGAAAATGAGAAAAATAATAGAACGAGAGGAATAGTCGCAGTGTTTCGTTTTGCTGTGAGTTGTGCTTTGTGATATGTCCACCCCCCCACTTTCCCCCGTCATCCCATCTGAAGATTTATTTTCATTTTTGCATTTTACAGTCTACGAGCCAAATCAGATTAGTAATCATTCGCGATCTGAAGTTTTGCAGGTTGATTTGTTTGCTTTTGTTTTTATGTAAGATATATAGTAATGAAGTGACCTAATTTGTGCCATTTTCAATTTCGCCTTTTTTTAGAGTTCGTTTTCTTTTTTCATTGATTTACAATATATTAGAAAAATTTTTAAAGCATTTTGTAACAAACCCAACCAATTTTTTGATTAATTTATCGATTTTTTGTTTATTTCTTTTGATCCCATTGATCTTTAATCTTTGCGGTTAATCCAGATTGGTTGGCTTTTCTCGTGGAGTGTTTTTTGCTAATTCTTGCGATAATTGAATTTTGGATATCTTATTGAATTTTGGATTGTTTTGCATACGTTTTTAAATCAAATCAAATTTCACCAAATTTTTAAATCAAATTCCCTTTTTTAGCTCCTAAATTTTTCCTATGCAAAATATTTATATAACAAAATAAAGCTCTTTTATTTTTTAAATTTCTTTAAATATGGACTGCAGAAATGCGAACTTAATAAAAATATAAATTACATATCGATTTGTATCAAATTATTATTTGTTTTTTTACCAATTTCTTAAAAGAAAATTTTTATCTTTGGCTATCCCTTTCTCTATTTTCTTCATGATATTTCCGCCGTTTTCATTTCTCTAATGCTCTCTTCTACTATTTTTAGTTTTTCCCGCTAAATTATTACTATTATTATTTTTAACAATTTTATTTTTAGTTATAGTATAAAATTTTTTCTTTTTAAGTTTTCATTTATAGTCCACTTGGTTTTTTTAAGAATATAAATACAACTGGAAAATTTTTTTTGAGGAAAGATTTCCACTTTTTTGGTAATTGCTTGAAGCCAGTAAGTTCGTTTTTCTGGATTCATTTCGTCATGAAATGAGTAAAATAAGGTTACGGTTTGGCCAGTTACGCATTCGCTGCTTTCGACCTCTAAGTTAAATCTTTTGTGACCGAATTGCGTAAATATCGAGATTTGCTTGATTTTTTTTGTTTTATGTATGAATTGCATCATTGAGATCATATTTTTTTTTATAGATTTTTATCGTCTTTGTTTCATTTATTGATTATTGTTATCATTTGGACAAATATATAGTAGAAAAGCATTATTACTGATAAGTACTTCGTTAATTATTTTCATTATTTTTGCTTTATTATTTTGTTGCAAGTTTCAAGTTTATTGATTTTCTATATTCTTTTTATTATTGCCATCATTTATTTTACTACTTAATCGTTTCAGCTATAAGTAGGATGACACGTTCGACACAGAATTACTTATGAGTGGACCGGTGACCGAATTTGACCTCAAATTGCTGCTCTAAAAAGAGGTGAGGGTGGAATTATGATGCTTTGAAATGGTTGTCAAAAAAATTCGCCACTTGCCCATATTAGCCCCATTTAGTATCGACATGAGCGCTTAGGTGTAATTAGGCGGAGGAATTGGGGAAGGGAGGGTGATTTTTATTGTAGAATATGAAAATATTTCTTGTCTTCATAAATTTTTAGAAATTTTGTTGTAATCTTATTGTTTCTTCGTATTTCTATCGATTTTCAAAATATTTTCTTTGTTACCTTTTTTATCAATATCCTCATAAAAGAGTAAATGGGATAAAGTCTTTCACATTTGAAAAACATTAATGGGTAAAGCTGAAAAGGAAGAGCTGGCAAAATTTAAATACTTGATTTCCCTCCATTTTTGCCAGTAATTTTCTAGGATTCGTTTAAAAGTAAAATAAATGGTTAGCTCACCATTTCCGGTTCGGTTAGTAGTTTTGACCATTTGTTTGGTTAAAATTTTGCTGGAAAATCGACCGGAAATATGAGTGGATCACGAGCGTAGTCTCGGTTTCTTCAATAACTCCTGGTTTATTCGTCTCTGAAGCAGCAGCCGAACTGTTGCTTCGCAGCGCGATCTTAGCCCTTTTCCACTCCACTCTTCTATCTTACACTTCAATAATGAAGTAGTTTGATTAAGTAAAATTAGTAGTTCATGTCTGCTCATCAATTTATTTTAAATTTTCACTTTTATTTTAAATTAAATTTTAAATTCATTATTATTTTAAATTTTAATAGAAAAATTCTCGAGGTTTTTGCTGCTTCATTTATTTACTTTTTTAGTTTTACAATATACAAAAGTTTTACAACTTGTTGTAACAATGGTATCATCAATCTGTTGTAAAATATGTTAATCACAATTTTTTGGCCATGGTTCAGTGAGGGAACATTGTCGGACGAAAGGATAAGGTACATTTAATCAGTCGTTTAAATCGAGCGACAAAATAGCGAAAATGGAAAGCCTATAGCGACAAAAGAGTATACGACGTTTAATTAGTTTCACTTTACTATTAGGAAAAAACTTTTGCCAAAGAGTTTTTTCGATAGAATTAGAGATGGATCCACTTGAATCCTTTAATGAGAGATTTGCTGTTGTCAAAAGATAGTGGTCGAATGATGCTTGAATGACCCACCCTATGCAGTATATCACTCGACCATACTCCATTTAATATAGAAAGTAAATGAGCTTGTGCTGTGCATTAGGTTTGAAAATTACAACTTTATGCTTAAATTTAAGCTTAAAGTTCAAATTCACCATTTTATGTTAGATATGGATATATGGTAGTGCGCCGAACAATGAAAATTGGCTTTACATAAATAATTCTTCCTCATCAATTGTTGAAATTTAATTTTAATTTTTATTGGCCGAGTTTCGACTGAGACCAAATATCATGGGCTCAGCTGCTCTACTTTAATAGGAAAATGCTGGTCCATTTCTATTTTTAAACACTCTTCGGCAAAGCAATTTCATCCTAATAGCCACTAGGCAAACCAGAAATGATGAGTGTTATTTGATGAATTTTTTATATTATTCAATTTTCATTACTGTTATTATTTTATTATTTTATAATATTTAATATGGTTATTATAGATTAGTAATAATTCTATAATAACAACTGAACCTATTTTGAATTTTTGATTTATCTATTGAATTGTTTAAATTTTCTCCGTCACTTTTTTTTCATTTGATTCATTTGATTTTGATTTTTTTTTCAAGTTATTTGTACATGATTTGAAGATAATTATTGAGGAAAATGGCTGTTTTCTTGTTCTTCATCACGCCAAACATTTTTGGTGTGGTTACTTACACTTATTGCCAAATAGAGGATCATCTCATATAAATAAATGATCCTTTCAAAGAGAGCATCACTTTAAGATAAAGTTGTCTTATGGGTTCTCAAAAGGTATTTTTGTCTTTACTTAATGTTTTACCATCATAAAAAGTAATTCTAAAAATAATTGTTAAAAATAATTGACCTGATCATATTCGTTAAATTTTATTTCAAGGGATAAAATATTCATTCGATGTTAGTTACTCGACGTTACTCTGCATTGTGGATTTTTTTTAATTTTCATTTTATATCTATATTTCCCCTCTGTCTGTATTTCTGTCTATATTTCTTCTATGAAACTGTTAAGTCTTTGTAGATCTCGACGACCAAAATGTCTGGTCCAGTAAATGACGGAGGTACCATTAATTACATTCCAGTCGACTCGTTTCATAAAGCGAAATCCGATAATTTCAGGTATCCAAATAAAAATTAAATGAATGATATATTTATTGCATATATTTGCTATAAAATTTATTATCATTATTATTGTCAATAACTGTTATTAATCAATTCGACAAAAAAATCGATATTTTATTATTGATTAAATTGTGGGAAAATTTGTGAAGAGCGTGGGAAACGATGAAAGAGAAAGATCAGAGATCATCATTATCATATGTTGATGAAAAAAAGGATTCGTCAAATTCGTCAACAACAACGACTAGAAAAGATGTTTATGACGATGACTCGTGCTTCAAAGCACCTTTACTACTTCCCCACAGGTATTTTTTAAAAATTATAAAATTATTTTAAAAATTATTAAAATTATAATTATTATAACTATTATTATTAAAAATTTAAAAACATAGGGTATTTATTACCGGAAGGGAGAGATGTAAAGGAGAAAGTGAGCTTGAACAACTTTGAACAAGGAATTAATTGCTTCGACCTCAAATAATTACTTTTATTACATTTTAATGACAGGTTTTTGTAAATGATAAGCAAGTGATAAGTGCTTACCTGGTTGAACGCTTCATTGACTGTTAGTTCGGCTTTTTGTCAGGAAGTCACATGATGGTAGAAATATAGGTGGCACCACTCGAGCTGTTGGAAATAGGAAGCAGAAATCGAACTTTTGCTCCTCATTATTTGAAAGCCATCTACTCAGTTTTTTCTGCAACTTTTATATTTTAGATGATATTTTTAAATTTATTTATCGCATATATTCGAATTTTTGGTAAATTTTCAAATTGTTTATATTTTTTGATTTAATTTATTCATATCTATTTTTATTTTCGTAATTCGTTTCTTTGGTGGAAATCTTCAGTTTTTAAAATAATTTATATATTTTTTTGTGGTCGGTATGTGATCGAGTGATATATTGCTTAGATTGTCAATTCAAGCGCCATGATTCTGCTTCTTGATGGGATCAAATCCATATCCAGGTGTTGATGGGGACCCACCTGTGCTTCTATCCTTATTGGTCGATTTCAGGTTTGGGTCAGGTAGAATTCAGGTTCGACTCCTTATAGTTTTACAGTTTGCTCCTCTTCGCGTTCCATCTTACCACAGTCTCCGTTTTTTACCCAGTAATTTTTTTCTTTTTTATAAATCGAATATTTTTTTTCAGGAAAGTAAATAATCGACGACGAATTGTAAATAATGCAACAATAAATAATATTAATAGTAATAACAATAATCGAAATGGCTTATTATCAGTGCATGAAGATATAAAAAATTTGGTTAATGAAACAAACCAGTTCATATCAAATGATAATATTTTTGCTATTAGTGATAACAACACAAATAAGACCTGTTTATTTTCGAATATTATCAGCATATCTTCGACGATAAGTGATAAAGATAAAGTACGGGAAGAAATTGAGGAAGAAGACGAAGAAGAAGAGGAGAAAGGAGGAGAGAAGAAAATTGATGAAAAGAAGGAAAAAAAGAAGAGCAATATAGGAAATAAGGATGTTTTTACTGATAACATTCGTAGTAGTGGTGATAACGGCAATAATGGTGATAACTGGCGACGATATAGTAATATAATTGATAACCAACTCAACTTAAATAGTATAACTTTAAATGATGTAAAACCATCAACATCAAAACACCAACCGGTAGCGTTTTTAAAAAAATTTTTGAATTTTTACATTGTTTTTTGTTCGATTCAATAAATAATTTTACAGAAATTTAAAAATTTAGGAAATAAATTTAGGTTAAATATTTTATTACTATAGTTGGTAAAGTGGAAAGCAAAGTAGCAGAGTGGACAGTGGATAGTGGATTTGATTAATTACGTTGAGAGGCAAGGATTCGGTTTCTGATTCCGACAGGAATGAACTTGTTATTAAAAAAGTTGGTAATGTGGCCAACTTATGTTTTCAACAACCGATTTCTCGCCAAAAGATTTCTAATTGTTACCCAACAGGCAGCGAAACTAGCCTAAATAAAAATGAACATTAATCACTTACAAAATCAGTAAATCATAATCAGATTTCAGGAAATTCAAGAATGCGCATGTTCTCGAATGTATTTGAATTCATTATTACCTTGTTCGTCTTCATTATCATCTCAGTGCTCATCGCCGTTGACAGCAATCACAACAAATGTACCGCTTACTGCTAATGACATAAGAATTGAAGCGATAAGAGAAACAGTTATCGACGATTTTTCGCTTTTGCTTTTCAGGGATATCGATCATATCAATGTTAGTTATGTGTTAGTTATGTGTTCTTTTTTTGAAAATAATATATACGAAAGAATGTTATGTTAAATATCCTGTGTATTTCCGTTTTTTGACTCATTTGCTAATACCATAGATGCGAGATTCATGTCCTTCTCCACCAGAAAATGATAAAGATTAGTTGATTAATAACGATTTGTTCCACCTTCTCATTTTATTTTAATCTATAATAATTAATCTATTTAATGGATCGACACCATTCACCTCATAAATGGCGATTTTCTTTGATTAATAGCTAATTTTTTCTTGTGAAATTTCATGATGAGATTTCAAATCGGTTTGATATTTTTTATCACTCAAATCCCATTATTTTCCAAAACTTTGCTTTTTCTTTTTTCATTGTACCCTTTCATCGTGTCGTCTTAACATGCATCATCACTATCCAATTTTGTTATATTTGTTGAACGGCCTCTCGTATCAATGCCCTCCCGTGTATTATCTCGGCCGTAACCAGAAGCTACCCAACAAAATCGCGAGGTGTTGAGAGATAACAGAAATTGGTAGATGTTAAGAAAGTACAATGACGATTTGATGAGTATAATAATTTACGTATAGCGTGTTATGAGTGCGAGTAGTCTTATAGAAGAGATTTAGAAAAAAATTCCACTCTCTTTTGCACAGATCATTTAAATCATTTAATCAGTTTATTAATGTTAAATAAGTAAAAAATATTAATGAAAGACGAATTGGATAGCTGAGTGGACAGTGGTTCAGATTATTGTGTCGGGAACAACGGTTCTCCTCTTGTTAGAAGTAAACTTACTAAAAAGTCCTGATGGTGCCAGTCTGGAAAAATTTTGGTGGCCCAACTGTATTGCGACTTCCTGGCAAAAATTTCTAGCCCTGTTAACAGTTAGCGGAGCGAGCTCAACGAGAAATTCTCAGTTAACCGCTTACCTTTAGAAATAAACAAAGTTTGAGGTAGTATTCAATTGAAAAATCACTTTTGTTTCAGAAATTTCAAAGAGAATTAAATTTATTGAAAGCGAAAAAGGAAAGCGAAGAACGTAAAAAGTTATACGAAGAAAATTTGCGTCTTGGTTTAGCGAAGAAAAAAGGACGAAAGTGTAAAGATGAAAATCGAAAGGAAGAAAGAAGATCAAAAAAAAACAAGAAAGATACGCTTGAAATGATAAACGAGCGTGATACCGCTCGTACTCTTATCATTCCTAATTCGCAGTCGATTTCAGTTAATCCATTTTTAAGCCATTTGTCGAGAAAACAACTTAAATTATCAGTAAGTTATTTTCATTTTTTCGCCTGTTATTCTTTTACTCTAGATTTCTGAATTTCTAAAAGGTAAAAGTCGTTTATCTTTTTACAGATTAAACATACTTAAACATTTCATATCATTTGTGAAATTTTTAATATTTGCATATTTTTTTTTCGAAATATTTCATTCATGATTGAATTTTCTCTATAAAATATGCCATTGGGGTGGGGGTACGGAGAGAATAAGAGGACTAAAATCGCGAAGCGAGTTGTGGCTTAGTTTTGAAGAGCCAATGCTAAAATTTTAATCCTAGTAGGAGTAAATCTTTTTTTCAAGAATTTGGGTTATGCTGGCGATTCGCTTATACTTCTAGCGCCCTAAAAAATTTGGCTGGTCTAGCAAGGTGGAGATCGATTAACTCATAATTTTTAATGAGTGGATGTGGTTGGTGTGCTTTGAATGTGATTTTGTGCTGTAATAAACGGAATTATTTAAAAATGGAATTATTACTTATCATTTCTAGTTAAATTCGTTTCACTATATTTTTTGTGAAGGTGAAAGCACATTCCCACTTCGTTATCGATTTCATTCCTTTTAAAACGAAGCTTTCACTGGATTTTAGAAATTCCGATTTAAAAAGGTTAAATATGGAAATCGTACAGACTTCTGGGGTCTTAGCACGATTTGGTATTTAAAATTTTCATCACTCACTAGATTTCTTGGAAATTTGATTTTGGACAAATAAGCGATTGGTGCATGCCCACCATTTTCGATTTGCCCTATTGACTTTAGTACGATGAGGGTTTTTTGCCACAAAGTTAAATCGAAATGCTGACCACTGCCCGCATTTTCAACTGATGTTTTATTCCTTTCGAAGGGTGTATGCAAAACCATGGGCATGCTGTGGTAATCTAAACAACAACCAGTCGGCTGTCCTAAGCCCTGATTCTGATGAATGATTGGACAGTTTCATTCTTTTTATTTCGGTGTAAAAAATTGTTACAAATTGGGAGTATAAGGATTTCAATTTAAATCTGAAAAGTTATTTGGCATTTGAATTTAATAGAAATTGCGATGGTGGTCAGAGTGATAGCAGAATGAGGCGAACATATGTGACCTATATAGTCACACTTATCGCCGATTTAATTTTCACTTCGTAATTTGTTCTTAATTGAGATCTTTGGCTTGATTTGCACAATAGACAAAGTGTAACTAAAGGAAGCGAAATACTTTAAGAATTTATCGTGATAATTTTGTTTTTTAAAAAATCAGTCACTATCAGCTTTACGTTAAAATGGAGATATTTTCAAATTTAATCGTAAGTTTATCTTTGATCGTACGTTCAGTCGTAAATTTTTTCTCATACACCTCACCATCACTGGTTAGCCTCGCTCTGCTTTTTTATCGTGCTTAGCAAATTGCCAGGGAGTCCCTTGGCAGATGAATGGCCAACACCTCCAGGAATTTTACAGGTTTACTCTTGTGGAGAACGTCAGCATCGATTCTTTGTATGGAGCAAAAACCCATTAAGCCACTCAGTTTCAATAAATGAAATTTAATTATATGAATTTTTAAAATAGTGTTGCATTTTACAAAATCATAGTAATTATTTTCGTAGTCGTTAATAATTTCAGTTTTTTTCGAAATTTGCACTCAGTATTTAGAATTATTTAATTCAATTATAATAAAATTTTAATAAGGAATAATTAATGTAATTTTTAGTTTGCCAGTTAACTATGAAATGCTCTTTTAGGAATGAAAATGTTTTTTAAAAAATTTTATAGGATAGGATAATTTTTCAAAATTCTTACAACCTTCTTATTTTGGATCATTTAATACGATAAATATTCTTCCCACAGGCTGCTCATATGATGTGCAAGTGGATCGTTAGCATTGTCCTCGAATTTTTTGATGAGATGTCGGAAATGGACCCCTCTTGCCTCGAAATAATTATTGTTGTAATAATAGTAAATTATTCTTTAAATAGAAAAGAAGTTAGAAAATAAAATGTATAAATTAGTAGTGAAACGAAGAAAATGATATTAAAATAATTTAACAAGTTCAAAAATGGAAGATAATGGAATCGATTAAAGCGCTTGGCGTGTAGCCAATTCTTGTTATTGATTGATTTTTGTGTAATGTTGCATCTCTTCGCGCATTTCATTTAATATCGAAAAATTTCTATTATTTATGTTGAAGTACTTCTTTACTTGCTTTTGTCGAGATTTTAGTATTTTAATCAATAATTCGAAATCTTCTTCCAAAATTTTTTGTCGCCGATTTAATTTTTGCTGAAAAATTTCTATGAAAATAGGTAATAAGTCGACTACAGAAATGCAAATTATTGATCGATGCGTTGATTCATTCGAATCAACTAAATTTTTATTTTGGATGTAAGGTACTGTGTATTATGTTTGAAGTGATCATCGAAACATTTCCGTAACTTTTACTTTATTCTTATTTTTAAAAATTTGAAAAACTAAGGCTAAAGGCTAAAGGAATTGCTCGTCATATTTAATCGTCAAACTAGGCCAATGGCCTATGTTTGAGCATTAAATGATATGTTATAATGAAATGATGATAACTGATTATTTTTTAGGATATATAAAAATGTTTTTTGGTCAGAAAATTAGTTATATGAAAAGTAAAAATAATATGAAATAGGTATAATCAAGATTGCAGAATGTTTGCTTAAATTTTATAAATGATGTTTGCTAAGGAAAGTACTCGTAAACAAATAAATACAACCTAAATAATAAAGTAATTGTTAGTTTTTTTGCGTTTATTTTATTAAATAAATATGTCATCATTGTTTCATTTTACGTTTTCATACTTTGTTGTGGTACAACGCATCTATTCGTTAGGTTGTATGATGTTGATAATTGTTTTTAGATAACTTTTGACCCTAAAATTGAAGAATCGTGTGAATTTTAAGGGAATAGAATAACAAATATTAGAAGAATTCTTTGTGTTGATTCTTTCCTTTTTTATCGGATTTTTTTCCCCTAATTTTTTAGAGAAGAGAGGGGTTAAAGGTCAATCAAGGAAAGAATTTTTAACGTAGCGAGAGAGAGGCGTATGTGTCAAAGAGCGGTAAATGAAAAGAAATATAACGATGAAATAGATGAATTAGACGATAAGAGCATGGTTTTTTAAATTTTCCATAATTTTAACACATTAATTTGTGCATTTGTTTCCTTCAGATATACTCCGTAGCCATCCTACCGTTTTAAATTTCTCTAGCGAGTAATCTTTTCTCGGCATCCAAAAGCCTTAGAAGTTCTCATGGTCCTTAATCTCATTTGCTCATGGAACAATTGGTCTTTTTTTGGATTTAGAACAATAATGATGAAAAAAATGGGGATAGCGGAAATAAAGATGCATATGAGCTAGAAACCTTTTTTTTGGTGAAACACCTGATTTTTTTAGGCATTTTGCGTATATGAAAATGATATGATAAGGCGCCGAATTTTTTCTCTCGTGACTGTGGTAATTAGGGTGTTATTTCATGGAAGCAAATGACAGTCTCATTCCTCGGCTTATCTTGAAGACTGCAAGTAGCTATATATAATTGCTAGCAATTGATGGAGAGCTATTGAAGCGATTGATTCTAATATTGATAGGAGAGAGGAAGAGAAAATGAGTAATATTAGTGCAGTTGAACGGAGTATTTATTGATTATATCGATTAGTTTTGTGTTTGATGTTGATAAGAGAAAGATGTTAATACTGCCATGGAAAAAAAAAGCGTGGATTCGCGTTCAGTTGTCTTATAGTTGAAGCGAATTGGTACTGTTTTACTTAGTCTTTATTTTTCTAGTCAATAAGCTTTTTTCAAACATTTTCAAATTTTTGTATTTTATATTTATCTTATATTTTAAATAAAATCAAATTGGATTTTCAAATTCTTAAATTCGAAGAAAAAATTCATTAAATATTTTTTCTCAAATTATTCAATTTTGTAACTTATATGTTCGATTATCTTTTTATAACGATTTTTGCTTTAATGCTTAGAAAATTAATCGAAAATATCTTATTGTTGTTATGATAATATTTAGCTGCTCTTTTCTCGTTTTTATGTAGTATTGCTTACTTTAAAGAGTAAGATAAGCGATATTTCGTTGAAAGCAGATTGAAAATGAAAATGAAGGAATGACGGAATGGTTCAACCAGCCGAAGCCGAAAAGTAGCTTTTGGCGTATATGTTCATTTGATCTTTATTTCTGTTTATGCTCAATTATTTTTTACTATTCTTAAGCCTATCTTTGTTTTTTATCATATTATTATTTTGCATTCTTGATGCTTTGAATTCATCGTTAACATTAATTTTTGTAACATTATTTTTATATTACTTTTACCATTTCAGAATTATTTTTACTATTGTCAATATTTTTATTCTTATTATTATTCTTTATTATTCTTTAATATTATTCTTTCCTAGGTTATTTGCTATTTTAAACTTTACTTAATTTTCAGCGTCTTCAGAAAACGGCTTCAATAGGAATTTGTAGTGCATCGTCGTCGTCGCTATCTTCACCATCAGGAATTTCATCGTTATATATGAACGATACAGTTAACAATTCATCGCCATCGGTTTGTGTTGATTCATCAACAACAACGATAGCAACGACGGCAACAACGACAACAACGACGGTAACTACGGCATCAAATACGAGTACATCATTAAAACGTGCTGCAACTGACAATAATGAAAATATTGCCGAAAAATTATTGAAGATTGATCCATCATTTGATGATTATAAGTTCGTTTTTTCATTTTTCTTGAGATTTTTTTAGGTTGAAAATAAGTGTATAAAAATGAATGCAAAATTGATTACTTTTACATTGCAGCGGGTAGCTTTCAGCGGTTACAAAATTCTTATATGGTCGTCATAGGTTATCGTAATGTATAGTTCACATAAACAGTCAATTTGCTTTATATTTTTTGATTTTTTCGATAGTAATTGAATTACTGTTGAATTAGCTATGTTTTAACCGAGATTTTGACAACAAAAACGAAGTAAAAAAATATCTGAACAACATTGAACTTGAATTAACCTTTTCTTTCAGTATTATGAAGAAAAAAAATTCAGGAATGGTTTAATTGGTATCGCAGTGAAAACAGATTCATCTGCAGTGCTGAGCATATCACCAAGAATTTCGCGTGCTCAAACTATTAATGGTCCTATATATGACACGTCAAGTAATAATAGCGCAATAACATGGAATGCTAACAATAATGGAGGACAGAGGTCACGACCTCATTCTGTTTCGGTTGATTCTCGAAATAACCCATCGACTTCTATTGAAAGTTAGCCTTTCTTTGATCTTTTCTTTCGAATAAAATATCAATGTTTGAAAAAAATTTTTCAGTTAAAATACTGGAATGCTAATTCAAATAACAAAATTTTTTTTGCAGCTGGACATCCTGTCGATCCAGGTCATGACATTCCGTCAACATCTAATAGTTTAATTAATCATTTACAAGAAACGAATTCAACTGGTTTAATAAATTCTTCTAGTAATACGGATCATCAACCATCGCCGTCGTTATCAGCGATTCGTGATACTGCAAATCGTCTATCATCGAATCATTTGTCATCAGTACCATCGGTCCCTGTTTCAGCAGCAGCATCATTATTCGATATACGGCAAGCGTTTATTAATAATCCAAATTTTGCTGCTATTGCGAATAATGCAGTTGCAGCAGCTGGAAATAATTTCGGTAATTTATTTTTACCTGGTGCATCACCAAATGCCGCAGCTGCAGCTGCTGCTTTCCCATATATTGCTGCACATCTTTTACAACAGCAACAACAGCAGCAACAGCAACAACAGCAACATGTTCAGCAGGTATTTTTTAATCATTTAATCATTTTTGAAGGTCTTGAAATGAAAAATGAAATGAGATAATTAGATATTTATCAAGATTTATTTTAAAAAAACCTATAGAATCAAAAATTTAGACATTATCGTTGGCGCAAAATACTGTACCATCGTCACCATCAACTGGGCCAATATCACAAGGTCCACCAACAGTTAGTGGTGTTATTGGAGGTCTACAGTTTCCACCTGGTGCTGCTTTAGGACCACAATTGGCTGGTGCTGCATTGCTTGGTCGTGCTTTACCTCCTGCTGCTATGTCATCGATGTCACAATCGTCATTACCAATTAAGGTGTGCTTTTAATCCTCAAAAATTTTTCATGAAATCTTTATAAAATTCATATTTGCAACTTCATATTTTACATCCTTTCAGCAAACAAAGCAAGGTCGGTGGTGTGGCATGCATATAAAAATAGCTTATGATATAGCAGCTAAAAAAGAAAGGCGTTCAACTCCCCAACCGTCATCGTCGATGAATGCAACAACGTCAACTGCTTCTTCATCAACAACAACAACAATATCACAAAATATTTCCAGAGTTAACTCATCGTTATGTCTACCATCAACTTCAAATACCCATATTCCTGGGCAAGTTTACATTTTATTCTTTCTTTAAAAATTTTAGAAAATTTGAAGCTTATATTCTGTTAAATTATTGTTCGCTACATTACAGAGAAAGCAGCCACGTTGATAGCATAAAAATATTTTATAATAATTAGAAAATAGATGTTTTTATAAAATTATTTCTTTTCTATCATTGTTTTTTTAGTTTACAGTTCCTGTTTCAAAGATTGGTGAGTTGTTTTGCGAAGATTTAGAAAGTTTTTAATAATTTTTTAATCGTAATTTTTTAAAAAAACTTATGGTTTTTTTAAGGTTAACAACTGGTCTTACGATGTCGGCAATCGCTGCAGCGAATGCCCTTCAATCGCCTTTCAATACAATTCCATTTCAACAAATTGCTGATCCAAATAAATTTTCTCGACAAACGTAAGTGGCTTTGTTCATTTATTGTTGATTTTTTTCTCCTTACGATATTTTAAAGTGGAAAATTTTCAAAAAAGAAAGGATAAAGTGAAAAAAATCACCTATTTCTCAAAAAATTCCAAAAAATAATTCGGCTTTCTCGTTTTCTGAGGAAAAAGTTTTTAAGTCTAATATATATGTTCAGTGTTTTCAAATTTTTTTAAAATTTTTATTTATAGGACGACTCCGAAACAATTGGCAGTTTCGAATCGTTCGTCATCGACGCTTAATCGAAATTCAGCTAGTGGAATTTCATTACCAATAGGTAGTGGACTTCTTGGCGCTTCGATTGGGAATGCATTGGCGCCATCGTCATCATTGCATGGTGTTACTGGAGCCACTATGAATAGTACCACTGGTTTGCCAAATGTTGTCGGTGCAACGTTACCGCTAACGCCAGCATCGCTATCCGATTCTACTTCGATCGCAGCAAGCACAAATGATGCGGCAGCGATGTTCGCTGCACTTGCACAACAGCATGGCGCTGGCGCCAATGCTGCTTCTACACCGTCGGCTGTTAATCTTGCTGCAGTTGCTGCAGCAGCTGCAGCAGCGTCATCAAATCCTTTTGCACTATCCCAGCAGGCATCTGCAGCTGCTGCACTGTCTGCGAATCCATCACAAGCACAGCCCTTGTTTCCTGCTCAGCGATTATTCGATCCGAATATGGCGCTCGTTTTGCAACAGATGCAATCGGTACGTTTCATAATCGTTTCAAAAATTATTTTGATTTTAAAATGGAGAGTTCATTCGATTTTCGAGTAATTTGTCTGGTTCAAAAATATTTTTTTGCATTATTCATCAAATTGCATGACCCATTTTTTTCGTTTTTGGTTTTAAAAAATGATTTTTTTTTTCATAGATTGAAGCGATGCGTCAAGCAGCAGCAGCTGCTGCAGCTCAACAGCTCGGTGCAGCACCAAACGTTAGTACTGCATCAATGGCAGTCGATTTAATGCGATTACAAATGGAACAACAAATGATGGATCGGTATGCAGCTGCACTCGGTAACGCATCGTTAGCAGCTGCTGCACAACAGGCGGCTGCACCAAACGTTGATCTTATGCGGCAGCAACTTATTGCTGCACAAATTCGACAACAGCATGTGCAACAACAACAACAACAGCAGCAACAACAACAACAGCAGCAGCAACCATCGTTAGAAGCGTTATTTGAAATGCAACGCCAACAACAGCAACAACAACAACATTTGCTTAACGCATCTCGAGTATTACCAGCTGGTTATGCGTTGCCGTCAGGAAACGTTTCTGCAGCTGCAGCTAATCCTCTTTCTTCAGCTCCGGGTATAGTAGCAACTTCTGCGTCGTCGACATCAACATTGCCCCAGGGTCTTACAGCTGCTGCTAGTTTATTTAGTCCAACACATCTTATGTCAGCTGCGGCAGCAGCAAATTTTCAACAGTCATTGTACGGTAAAAATCCTTATTCAAATACATTAGAACAATTAGCACGACAAAAACGTGAAGGTGATATAATGCCATCGGATAGATAGTGATAAATTTATTATTCGGCGATTGATCTTTTACGGTTAGAATACTCGTGCTTTTTTCACGGTTTGTTGGTGGATTTTCTTCTTTTGTCATTATAATTACAGTTTTTTATTTAAACCGGTGACCTCGATCGGTTGATATTTTATCGTTATCAGACTCATTTTATTAGACTCATATTCTGCGTCGTTTCCTAGCAAGGTCGATTTAATATGAACTTTTTATACACATATTCCCTCGTAATTCACCGACCGCTTTTTTTCGGCCATAACGGGTCATATAAATATATTAATTTTTCTTTCTTCAATTTTGGCGCAATTTGTGCAGGCGATATTTTTTGTACAGTTATTTGCACTGGATTTCCCAGCTTTTTTTCTGGTCTTTTTTATTGATTTTCATTTTTAATGGAAAATATGTGACTGATGAGTTTTGGGTTTCTAAAAAGATTTAAGAAGAGAGGTACATGTACTTATATTTATATTTATGCATGTTTTTATTTGGTACAATACCTCATTGGAACCTTCCCATTGGGTATATGTATTACTACTTATTATAAATATATGTGTTTTATAGATATTGCATTTTTTGTTTCGTTTTTTTGTCGCCATCCTCTCTGTAACCCTTTTTTGCCCTAGAAATGTTGTGCTATATTCGAAGTCTTTTATATGCAGTGTTGTAATATTTTTAAATTACTGCCCATTGGTCGAGAATTAAGTTATCTGTTATCTCCTTTTTATCCCTTCCTTCTTCCCAGTTCGTTATGTATTTTTTCACTATTGACATCAGTCCAATGAAGTAAATGTTTTGTTTTTTTGAAACAAGTGAATTGCCATTCATACCCTTGAATATCAATTCTTTGGTGTTTTTTAACAGAGGTTTTAGATAAGCTGCAAAAGGTTTTGCTAGGAGATATCTAGGAGATACACCCATTCCCATTTATTTTCATCTGCTTTCACATAATTATTAATTTTATTTCTTGAAATTGGGGAAGAAAATTAATATACAATTGCAAGAAATGAAAATTCATCCAACATATAATATACTCGGGCATTTACGAAAGACAACAACGACAGCAACTGCTCCTTTTTGTTTTCTTTAGAGTATCTGGAAATTACTGGTTAAGGGTTTTTTTCGTAGTAAAATATTAGAAAAACGAGCAAAGTGAACAGCACGTACAAATAAACCTTTTTGAACTGCTATCCAAATCTTTATTAATCACTTTATGTTGCAACCGGTCAGCAAAGAAGTAGTAAGGAGGGAAATCCTATCTGGGATTCGCTTAGCAATTTGAACAAAAAACCATAGAAGTAAGAGAAATCTTGCCGCCAGTAACCAAGAAGTGGCGCGATGAGCTGTACTATATTGATGAATATTCGCGTAGATATCTCGCCAGGAATTTTTGTCCCCTTTTTGTTTATTAGGTTCACAATAATATAACTGAAAGATTTCCAACACTTCCGGAGCAACTCTTCAAGGGCAGCCCGGTGCCATATGCTTTGTTGATTGTTTTCGGGTAAGTATGTAGGTATTCAGAACAACGGGGTATTTTATCATTGGGGCAAGAACTGGACCGCATAGTTATATCATGGACATCACCCGCCTGCAATCAAAAGGTGTGGAAACCAGTCCATAATTACGAATCATATAAATACATTAAAAACCTTTTTGTAGACCCTGTATAGGGTAATGAAGCGGAAGTCGTGCTTCAAATTTTCAAATTTTAAGGGACTAAGAAAATATATATCATATATAAAATACATATATATATATCTTACACATGTACCGAACCATCAACCGAAGAAATGACAGTTTTCACATATCCTGATTCATGCCTAATTACCAAGCAGTAGATGAAATTCCAGCGGATAGCTAGAGAAGAAGTTTTCCAACTGCTGAAGGCTTCTTGAAATCGTCCATTATTCGAAGTATAAAGAAGCCAATCAACTTTGATCATTCTTATCCAAAGTAAATCCTAATTACAAACTGTGCATGCAAAACGATTATAAATACTTCGCTGTCATATGCATCAATGGCATCAATAATTACAAAGCCGCCTGCTCAGGCGTTATTCGCAGCTTATCGCAAGAAATATCTCCACACAGAAAACCAAACCAACATATGGGCTGATAAGGGCCAGAAATGATTTCGAATACAGCTGCTTTAGCGATACAGGTTTAGATGTAAAGGAATAATCTAATTTATTTTGCATAAGATCAAAAGGCGTCTTATTCTTGATAAGCCAGTGAAAGCAATCAAATCAGCAAAAAAGAAGTGGATATTAAATTGCGAAAATTCACTCAATTACTCCACTACAAAATCTAAAATCCAAAACTAATGAATCCAAAAAAAACTAATGAAAGTGACTTTCAACAAGAAATTTTTCCTGAGAAGATAGTACTTGCAATATTCTTCAACTACCGATTAAAAGATGAATTAAGAGAAAGAATTTATTATAATTTTCGAATTTTTAAATTGAAGAAAGAAAAAAGAAGAGAACGAAAAAGAGTAATTATGAACGCCTACAAGACAATCCGGTTTGTGATTAAATTCTAAAAGTTTTCGTAAAATAAATCATTTTTAAATATTCAGAAATAAAGAAATGTGACAAATTTTCTTGATAAGCAGAAAAACGAATAGCAAATAACAAACCATTAGAATTGGGTTCGGGAAGATTTTCTCGAGTAACTAAGTGCATAACGGTTGTTTTGCCGGATGGTAGAGATAAAGCATTAAGTGTTACACTACCATGTAAAAATCGCCCATGATATATCAATTTTAATAATGACGATGATTCCACTTTTTCTTCATCCCATTCTGCAATATTTTTTATTTAATAGTGATAAAATAATAAAATATTTCAAATATCTTATCCGATACCACAAGGAAGAAAAAAAATAAAAGAAGTATAAAATAAAATAAGTAAAAAAAGACAAAAAATTGAAAAGACTGTTTATATCGGATAAGTCACAAGTGATAAATTCTATTAAACGATTGAATACGAAATTACAAAAATTTTTGCAAATCTGATAGGACTGCAAATTGCAATCCTATAAAGGAAGTGAAGAAGCATGTGAAAATTTGCTTCGGTTGTTACATCTTGGATAAATATAAAACAACAAATAGAAAAATAAGAAGACAAACCTCTTGGCCAATTATCAAAAATATACTGTGTGATTTCAGATGCTGATGTACGTAATGCAAATACGAATTCTTTTGTCTTACCACTAACCAAAATTAAACGTAAATTTACCTGAAATTTAAGAACATTGATAATATGAAAATTGCGAAAATACGAATTTTTTAAGAGGTTTGAATTATCTCTAATTTTCTGAAAAATGTAATGTCAATTAATATATAAATACATTAAAAATTAGTTAATAAGAATAATTAATAATTAATAGTAAGTAATATCAATACTTAACAGATAATATTAATGGAGACATAGTAGTCGAATGGTCGTTGCTCAGATTATTGTCGTCGCAATGCTCGCAATGCCAGCATTAATTGCCATTAAAGAAACATGTGGGACTCACCTGTATTTCCAACCTCAAGTAACTATTATTCATATTTTTTTCATAGCACTTATGGTCTGAAGAGCGAGCCTTACCACAAACGGTGAGCGCTAATCCAATTAATATTTATTAACGGATGAATAAAATTTTATGGAAAACAAAAGTAAAAAAAGAATTAAATAAAAACCTTACTAACATTATCAGTTTGCAAATTCGAGGAATTATTATCTTGATTGCATTTAATTGTCGTAGTCGACATGATTCCTACAACTTTGCAATTTTACTCATAAATGTTACCATTATAAATTATAGAAATAGTACTATTTTCCTCAACCACGGTGGGCGGGGCAGTTCGAGAAAAATAGAAGAAATTCTATAGTTTGTTGCAAACGATTTCGATGAACTGAACAAATTATATATATATATAAAATAATAAAAAACCAGTCTCTGCAAATGAACTACCACAACATTTTATTATAAACATGTTATTTTTGATTTAAATTTTTACATTTGACTCCAACAATTGTCACTGACGCCATAAACCGTCTGTAATCCACACCCAGATGGTAAAGGAAAATAGCAGCAAACACGAGTTATAAGTATAAGTAAGTAAAAAAAGAAGTATAAAAAGAGAAAAACCTGTTGTCCTATGAAGAAAATCTTTCGAAAAATTCCAGAAATGATCGATTGAAGATATTTAAGTCATCAAAATGAAACGCATTTTATTTTTCTGAAAGAATTCTTTTATCGTACTGCCGTTAAAATGGAGCGCCGCTGCACCTACTGAACTGCTGTCCATCTCATAGACAAGTACTTGGCGCAGTTTCGACAAAAAACAAAAGTAGATTTATTCGTGTGATATTCATAAGAGATATGAGTAAAAAAAACGATGAGCCCTATCGAGTGGACAAATATTTTCAAGCAGTGAGTGAGGCCGAGTGAGAAAAGACTAGACTACTCGGCCGAACTATTACGCCTTATAGGCCACCTCTGAGGCAACCACATTTGCAGTACCGCATTAACTGTTACAAAGAAGAAGAAACTCTTCGCCTGCAAAATTTAGAGGAAAATGGAATAAAGAGGCTTTAAAGAAAAACTTCTACTGCTACAAATAATTTAAATAAATGGATCCTCAAAAAATTGAAAGGGCACTTGTCCATTCGTGTGGCAGTTTCGCTGCCGATTCCTATTGCACGTACCACAGCGCAAAGTAAAACCAGTCATTTACACGTAATAAATACAAATAAAATTGACCGCGAAAGACGGAACGTTGACAACAACAACGGCGACAACGACGGCGACGATGTTATAGTATAGGGGCGGCTTTTCTTTCTCTCCCAGAAATTTATTTATCGATTGATGGGTCTGTGTCCGTTACACATATCTACATTTATCGATCAATGAGTGTTCGTGGCATAACACGTATATCGATTGGCATGTGCGTGCACACCCGCGGTCAACAGATGCACACCTACTAGGTGGCCGCAAACATTCCATACGTATTCCTCTACCTGTGTACCTTACCTGTGAGAAGCCGATCGATCGCCAACCGTCTTTGAAACCGTCTTTGAAGCGTATACCGTCTTCGTCAGTCATCGGTCGACCAATGTGCCTTTTTAATTTTTACAGTCTATATTAAGACAAACGAAATAAAATATTCATTTGACGAGCGTCATCGCCGTATATCCCGAGGTGTCATTCCACACTTTTCTTATGCGTATTTCCTGCTGAGATTGTCGTTATCACGAATTTGACTCTGCCTTCGACAGGAATGCACTCGTCGTTAGAAAATTTGGTTGCTGATGGCGAACCACCTGTACTCCATTCGCCGGACCACTGCCAAATCCAGAAATGGTCAGCGTTAAACACTTTCTTAATCAAGTTTTTACTCCTCTTTCTGTTTATACTTTCTAATAAATCGGTGTATTCCGACTTATTGTCCAGTTGTTGTCCAATTCTTATCTTTGAAAACTAGTAAATTATAAATTTTTATAAAAATCTTTATTTTAATGTTGCCATTTAAAATAAACACAATGATTTATTCCATCCGTTCCCTTGAAACCATTTCATTTCATTTTATATAAATTTATGTACGAAAAATTAAATAAAAATCATTTCCAAAGTTTCTTAATTGACATATTCTTGTCAGAATCCTTTTGCATTACCTACAAATTAAAACATATAAAATTTATAACATATAATCCAAAATTTACAAAATTTGCGAAATAATTTGGTTTTTTAAAATAAAAATCAGATTAAAAAAGAATTCATCCAAAAAGTTTTTTTCAAAGAATTCAAAAGAAAGAATATAAATAATTTTCAATAAGAAATTCTGAAAAATAATTTTGGAAAATTAACAGGTTTTATCAAAAACAACTTCAAAATAGTAAAGAAAACTAGATTAAATTACATGAAAGAAAATGAAAAAAAACCTTTCCAACAGCCATTTCAAAATCTTCCTGAGTAACATGTATGCGTCTTTCACGTAACGCAAACATTCCCGCTTCCGTACAAACTGCTTTCACCTAAAAGAAATGATTTTAAAGAGTAATATTTGATCTCGGATCCACCTACAACTGAAATTATTCCCACGATCGTTTTGCATGTCTTTTTTTGTCTTTTTTTAAAACATTCAAAAATTCAAGGATAAAAAAAAGTTAAGAATTCATGTAGATTTCACCAAAAAACAATAAAAACAGCTACTGAATACTTGTATCAAATTATTATTATCACATTATACTGTTTTACATTACTATTATATTATTATATAAAATAAATATATATTATTATATGTTTGATAAAGAATTTTAAAAAAAAAACAATATTTGACCTCGGCTCCACTTGCACCCGGAATTGCTTCCGCAATTTTTCGCATATTTATTCCTCGCATTAAATTCATTTTTCTTGAATGAATCTTTAATATATCTTCTCGTGCTTTCTCGTCCGGTGCAGGAAATTCTATTTTACGATCTATTCGACCTTAACAATTTTCTAGTATTTTGTAATAATTATTAATACTTAATAATTATATTAATAATGTAAAATAATTACCTTTACTTCCCCAAATTATAACTTTTATATTTTAATATATTCTTTTTAAATGTCAAAGTCATTCAAAATAGCAGAAAAGATATACTGCCAAAACCTGGACGAAGAAGTGCTGGATCAAGAATGTCAATACGATTTGTTGCCATAATAACTTTGATATTTTTTGTCGCTTCAAAACCATCAAGTTGATTTAATAGTTCAAGCATAGTTCTTTGCACTTCAGAATCCCCTAAATTCATTAGTTTTTATATTTTGCAACCAACTTTTTCAATAATTTTCTTTCATAATCATTAACCTCTTTTGCTAAACTGGTGAAAATTCATTTGTACTCTTTCTTTTTCCAACAGCATTTTTTCTAACACCAAATTTTAATAATAATTTAAAAAATTACATGTTTTTCTCAAATTTTTAATAAAAATAAACCACAAACCACCACTGCTTCCTTCAACGCGAGATGAGCCAATTGAATCAATTTCATCCATAAAAATAATAGATGGAGCATGTTCACGCGCCATAACGAATAGTTCACGAACCATACGAGCACCTTCACCAATGAATTTTTGGACGAGTTCAGAGCCAGAAACACGAATAAACGTACATTCAGTGTGATGAGCTACTGCTCTTGCAAGTAACGTTTTGCCAGTACCAGGAGGTCCATACAATAGAACACCCTAAGTTAAATTATTCCTTAAAAAATATGAGCAATAATAAACCATATAAAAAAAACCAACCTTTGGTTGTTCAATACCAAGAGCATCAAACAATTCCGGATGTTTAACAGGTAATTCAATTACTTCCTTAATTTCTTTAATCTGTTTATCTAAACCACCGATCATTTCATAAGTTGAATCGGGGACTTTTTCCACCATCATTAGTGATACCAAAGGATCCACCTATAATGAATATAATTTGAAGGCCCATAGAGAAAATAATTACAGAATAGATAAAACCAATAAAGCATTAACAATTAACGATTTCATTAACGATTCGTTCGTATTGTAACCTATAATTTTATAAATATTTATATTTTATAAATAAATATTTTATATATTTTAAATTCATAAATGTTCTCTAAAATGAAGTACCAAATTAGAAAGTTCTTAAAGCTTCTAAGAATTTAGGAAAAGAAAACATTACTAACAAAGTGATAGAAAATAATGAATGTAGAATCGCACAAACACCAACAAGCTGAGAACTTTTGCTTGAGGCACCGGAAACGATCCTTTTCCAATTTATTTCTTGTTTTAGGGATCGTTGAGTAATATCGTTAAACATTGTAAATTATGAATGATGAACGATATTACGATACCCAGATTTTAAGAGTCTATTTTTCAAAAATCAAAAATTATCAAAAATTATTTCGAGTTAAAACATCGTTCTGTTCAAAAGAAAAGTAAAAAAATAAAGATGAACCTTGCTGGGAAGTATTTTATGAAGGGAATAACTATCAGCTCGAAGTGCAACACGACAGCCTGTATTAACATTGGCAATATCAATTCCTTTATCAACATCAACAACATATTTGCCTTCTGGATGTACCTAAAAATCAATGAATATTGAAATCAATCAATTAATCAATCATATCTTTCTGCACATAATATTCTTAACATATTCTTACTTTTACTAAAACTTTTTTCTTGTCGATTGCTTTCGAGACTTCGCCCACATATGATCCTTGTTCATGTAACTGCTGCAATTCTTCCTTCAACATACGAACCTATAATAAAAATCAAAAATTGTAAATTTCTTGGTGCTCTGGTGCTGCATTCGGCATTCGACTCAAGCAATAAAACTAAAGAAAAAACAATAAAAATAAACAAAAATAAAAAATAAACAATGAAAAGAACTCCCTAAAAGAACAGAACAAGAAAAAGCAGAAAAATAGAAGAACAATCGCACAAAAGAATAAAAACGCGAAGAACTAACTTTTGAATTTAATTCATTTCTTTGAGCATGTAAACGACGCAAATTTTGAGTTTTTTCAGCCAATTGTTGCTGAAAAAAAATATTAAAAACAGTTGACCTACAAAATCAGAAAGGATAAAATCTAAAATTTCACAAATAAATAGTCAAAAATAGAAGAACAGAAATACCTAAGAATAGGACCTAAAAATTTTTAACAAAATTAAAAAAATTTAAAGTTATTGGAAAAAGTTATTGGAAATCTACCATAAAAAACCAAATTGTAACCAAAAACAAAAAAATACAAGTTGAGTTTTTTACTTTAATAAAGCCAAAAATAAAAAAGCAGTGGCTATTTCGTAATAAGGCTAACGGAAAGTAAAAAATATAAAGAAAAAAGAATCAAGAAATTTTTGGCCAATTGAGCAGCAATAAATATAAATTTAGCTACAAAAACCTGAGCTTCTTCAATTTTTGTTTTATAATATCGTTTAAGGCTTTGTTCTTCAACTCGAACTGGTACTGCAGGTGCAATTATCGTCGTTGCACCAGCCATCGGTGGAACCATCGTTATTTTATAGATTTTCTGCTAATATTTCAAAATTATTATCAGATCGTCATTTTCTGATATTGCAAAACTAATACTAGTAAGCAGTAAGTTCAACTGTTTAACGAAGTAAACGTGAAGCCAATTCAAATAACCTAAAACAACCTTTCAAAAATCCAAAAACGAAAAAAGTTTCAAAAATCTTAAATCCTATATTTTAACCCAATTCGGAACTTTTCAAAAAAATAGTAAAAATTCAAAGATATCAGCTGAAAAGTTTTTAACACAGTCATGAATTTAAATCGTAAATTTCCAAAGGAATTAGTAACAATCTGAGTTTTATAAGAAATAAATTTCGATTTCTCGAAAAATTTTAAACAATTTAATTTCAAACTCGAAAGCTTAATTCTTTGAACTCTGCAATATTTCACTTTAGATCAACCAGCCAGTCGAGTTTTGAGTTCTCGCTTTACCCCACTTTTCCAATCCAATTAGAATCATAATTAGCTCCATGATGCGGAGTGAACTATATTTCCACCTTTAAGTGACCAAACCTTATTTTTTTTCTATTCCTAACTGATTCTCCGGTGAAATTACCTTATCCTATCAACCGTCAGTGGATAGAAATACGCGAAAAATGGTGACAATCATCTACTCGGACTTGTCACACTATTGTATCACAGTGCTATCAAATATCTACAAAAAAAAGTTATCGGAAAAAAATCATCAAAATAAGCTTTTGCGATCGACAAAAAAAGTGGAATTTAGTAAAATGAAAAAAATTTTTTAATTCATAATGATAATGAAATGATTAAAATACAAATCAGAAATTGTTTAAATAAATGAACATAAAAAAATTTTCGATGAGCAAATGGAAAATTAAAAATTTCTTCCAATTCTTAACAATAAGCGATCAGAAATTAAAATTTTAAAAAGAAATATTTCTTAAATTTCACCAATACTGCATAAATATTGTATTATTTTTTTTTAGATAAATCAAACGCAGATAAATATCGGAATTACTATAACTTTAATTTTACCTTAAAATTTTTCGCTAAAATAAATCAGCTTATTATTTCAGTTAGAATAATCACATTTCGAACACCAAATATAAACGCAACTTAATCATGAACCCAATTAATTAATTCATCGAATAACAATTCCAAAAAATGAAAAATATAAATCAGAAAAATGATCAATCAAAAAATAATTAAACGATTGCACGGATTAATTATTTGATCGCGACAAAACAATTTCTGAATAAATACGATTGAAAGCATTTTAAAAAATTTGCAAAATATCTAAAAACGAATAAACAACAAAAAATTTAAACATAATATTCATATACTTATGTATAGCTATACATTTTTCACAAAGGAAATTTACGAAATGACCATAAAAGAAAGAGTAAAGCTTAATAAGTAAATCGAACGTAAGGCAACATATAAATAAATTCAAAATGCTACTTCCTAAATCTTCAAAAATTAACCGATTTAAAAAATCCCTTGGAATAAATGTCCATATTATATTCATACCTATGACAATATGAATTAAAATACGTGATAAAGAAATCACCTAAGATGATGAAGTAGTTAAGGAATGTATACTAGTAGGTGTTGAGTGTGAAATAGGAAGAGATGCGAATTGAGGCTGCGATGAATGGCCAGTAGAATGGACTGAGTGGACCTCGAATTTCTGATTCGAATCGCTTTTATCAAATGTTAACAATTCATGTTGTTGTTTTTCTCTTAAAGCATTCAAAATTTTTTCTTTCTCCTTTTCGAAAGCACGTAATTCGTCTTTCATCTATAATATTTTTCTTAAAAAAATTAGTTTTTGAATATTCCAGATATTTGCAAGATTAAAATGAATTTATAGAGATTTAAAGAAAAAAGTTTCTATAGAGATTTAAAGAAAAAACAAATGCGTAGAAAAAACTTGTAAATTTGTAATTATGTGTAAATTTCAACCTTTCCATCCAATACATCTTTTCTTATGGAAATACGATCGTAAAGTTTTTGTCTTTCCCTTTCACAATTATCTTCTAAACAATTCTTTTGTCGCCTTTGATAATCCTTCAACATATTGAGTTCCTTATCCAAACGCTCTTTTAAAGCTTTCGCTTCATCTTCCTGGAAAAAATTGAAGCTTAGAAAATTTAAAAAATCAATTTTTTTCTGATTGCAAATAAATAGAGAATAGAAAATAAATTTCATATAACAGAAAAATTAAACAAATATAAAGACATTACCTGCCAAGATTCTAATTTTACTGTCAAATCTTGAACCATGCTTTCAATGGTATTTTCATATTGGCCAGCAAGAGTTGCTAGTTTCCGTTTTTGTTCTTCTTTTAACTTAAATATCATCTCCCGATGTTCTTCTTTTGGTATTGAACTAAGGACCTGAATAATTCTTGCAATAGATATTTTACTATCAAAATTTGATTAAAACAATTAAACTAAAATTTTTTCAGTAAAAAAAGTATTCTATAAAAAATGAAATATATCTTTATAAAAGCAACTGCATTTTGTGATAATCTGATTTGGTAAGCAAAGATCCTAACAACGGATGGCCAAAAAATATTTATATACAAACTTGTTGCTGTAAAATTTTGCTCTGCCGTAATTGTATTTTTACAGCCTGGCGATATTGTTTTCGAATCATCAATTCTTTAGCCTGAAAATCCTCTTTTACAAAAGAAAATTCATTGATGTTTTAATTAATTTTAACTAGAAGAAAACACCTTTAGTTCCTTTGGTTGCTGCTTAGATTTTAAAGTATGTCGTTTATTAAGTTCATCAGTAACCCTCTGGTTGTACTGAATTTGATTGGAGGTTTCAGCTTCATGTTGAATTTCCATATGGCGCCTCTTCAGAGACTGATTTTCGTTGAGCTGCGTTATTTCTAATTCTTTCGTTTGTTCATGTTGTTTACATAGCATTGCATGACTTGTTTCCAATTGCCTCGCCCGAACATCAAGTTCCTAAAAAAATGACATATTTCAAGACCAGATGATTAGGGATTGTTGATTACAATACCAATCCCAAAGATGATAGGAAAAGCAATGAAAAAAAAAGGATTTTACATCATTAGTGAGCTTTTCAATAAGCAAATGTAAAGCATGCATTCGCTTTTTCCGAATACGACGAATCTCAGCTTCCAAGGTTATTTTTTGTTCTCGAGAGAAAACAGCTTCAGCATCCAAACGACGAGCATTAAGCACCGCTTTTGTTTCTTTCACTGCATTTTCGTACGTTGAACGAACACCAAATCGTTCTTTTAACTCCTAGCAAAATAAAAGACTACAAAAACTACTACCAAAATAGAACATATCGAATAATAAAAATCAAATTAAAGGAACCAAATATACATTAAAAATAAAATTATGACAAGCGGTGTCCCCGCTCTTTTTCACTCTTTCATCGACTTTTTTAAATCCTAAAGAAATATAGACTCATATAAGCTATTATCGAATAAAATATCTGAACTAGGCTTCCAAGGGGGGAGATATCCGTTCTTTAGTGGGCGATGAGATCAGAGAGGATTATTTTAGCTCTGAAGAAAATTGAACAGGAACAATGAGATGATCAATTAGAGGGGGCGAGGAAAAAGCTCATTTTTGTTTTAAGTTTTTAAACCAATATCTTAATGGCCTTTGCTCATACTTTTGTTGTAAAGGGGCAACTCAGAGTTGATAAAGCTGCTTTTCTCAAAACCGCATGATCCTTTTTGTATACATTTTTAACTTTTCATCTTCTGTTATAATTATGCAATTTTATATTTTTTAATAATTTGCTCCTATGAATCGTCATATCCCTAATGTCTTTATAAATTTCCATGTTATATCTTTACATATTTCAGTGGATTCCAGATTAACTCGAATAATGCTTTTGCTTTATTTCTTTCAAATTTTTGATTTTTTTGGCATTTATAGAGTTTTGAACTTAAAGCTTTTGAATTCTATATAATCCACCAACCAAATCATTACAACAAATCTCAAAATTTTTATATCATAAAATGGACGATTGTGCTCCAAATGAATTAGATAATAATGGAATATTTTGATTCATTAAGTAATTTAATTTTTATCGTAAAATAAACTAACTTGTCGAACTGTAAACTCTACTGTAAGATTGTAAACTATAGGTAGAATTTTTGGTGATAAACGGTCGAGCTGTTGCTTAAATCATCAGATCTTTTTAAACTGAGGTTCGCGAACCACAGGAGAGGTACAGGAGAGTTTCAAATTGTAAACACAAAGATAAATGCTTTTGCTTGGGATCTCTTGTTTGCCTAGAAGGAAGAAATATTCTCATAGCGAATTGTAGGAATGATTCAAAAATCTGGTTCTCTTAAGGTGCAAGGTTCAAATGGAAAATTTATTTGAAGTTTTTATCATTCCGGTGTTGTTTTGCGGTTTTTTATAATTTCTAAATCCCCCAATCTAAATTCGCTATTCCTTACTTATTTATTAAAATTTTTTTGATTTATAGACATGTCTCAAGCAAAGAAGAAATGTAAACGATACAAAGTTGAATATCTTATATATAATTTTGGTCAGTCGCCACAAAAAAAACATTACCAATGCGCCTAATTTGCCAAAGAGTCTTAGCCAATGAAAGCCTTCTAAATGATCGTTTGAAAAGAAATCATAAAACCGACATAATTGATGAAAATGCGCCATTTTTCCAAACAAAGATTTTCAAAAACAAATTTTTTAAAAGACGAACGCTGAATTACATGTTTTCAAATCCAAAGAAGAAAATGATGGATTACGTGCCTCTTGCAATTTACCGTGAATTGAGGGAATCGCACAAACTGGTGAAGAACCGATTTTTTCTTCTATTAGTAAATATACCGTAAATCCATTTGATATTCTTTTTCAGCAGCAGTTTTCCTTAAATTCCTTTGAGCAAAAATAATAGAAACAACTAATGAAACGGCCATGGAAGATGAAATTTCATTATCTTAGAATCTGAATGCGAAAATTTAATTATAGATTGATGAAACAATAAATGCCGAACAATTTACCGAAGAACTTTGTTTTTACCATATGTTCCGTTTGTGAATATGATGAAAGAATTCTTATTGAGCATTTTCCTTCGCTAAAAAGTTGATGATAATTCAAGGAAAGGTCTTATTTCCCGCAAGATTAAACCTGCCTTCAAAAATCTGAACGATGTCGGCGACTCATTTCTATCGCCAAGAGACTCCTTGGCATATTGTGTCTTAGTGCGATAAACCAGAGGAGCGAGTTTAAACAATAATGGTGAAGTCTTAAAAAAATTCAAGGAAAATCGGTGTATTTTGTAGTATAGAAATCGAAAAGGAAATTTCCCTGAATAAATGTCAACTGTTACTGATGGTACTTTTTAATATCTGAATTTGAAAAAACACTCGCTCTGCATTATATAATTCATCGACAACATTTGGCTGCAAGAAATCTCTCATTGGCTGATTGCTTACATCATTCTTTACAATATACAATTACAGTAGATAACAAAATCAGAGGTAATGGTTTTTTGGTAGTTCATATAGAAGTATGTAGGGTAAAGGCCCGTTTTATGATGAATCGATTTTATAATGTTTTTGACTCAGCTGCAGAGTTTTTTGAAAATAAAGATGGTTCGTTGTGGAATGACTTAGTGATATTCCAGAACGATACAGCTTAATAGATTTAATAAAATAAATGTGAAGTAGACGAAGCCAACTTGTTCAAAGCTAAGAGCATTACTTCCACGCTCTTGTTAGATTGCTTTTTTATAAGTTGCAACTTGCAAAGAATTTTTCAAATTTTCGAATCTTGCCTCAGTCTAAAAGTGACGGAGATATTGATTTAGCCCACAAGTGGAAGCATTCCAGATAATTCAAATAGCCGCTTTCAAGATACACTTAGCATACATGAAGATTCCTAATTGAGTTTTAGATCCATTTTCAGATACTGAAGAATCAGGATTACCATTACAAGAATTAAAAACAAAATTTGTGGAAAAATTGGATGATTTCTGATTACAAAAGCATATATCTAAACTAAAAACTGTGGCAAAAAATTTCTTATTCCATTCTCTTCATCATATTGAGCAGGAAGTGGATTCAATGCA